TCCAGGATATGTTTTGAGGGACAACAACTGCTCCACCAGGGGTTATTCGTGCTACCCAAGTCGTCGACGTATATTTCCAAATGATTACAAGAGTTTTCTGACAGTGTGATCGGGGGTCACTCAGGGGTGCAAATTACCTACATTCGTCTAGCAACAAATCTGTATTGGGTGGGATGCAAAGTGATGTGGAGGACATGGTGGCAAAATATGATGTGTTAGAGCACAAGTACTTGACCACGACACCAGGAGGGTTTCTACAACCATTGGTCTATTACCATTTCCCGGGAAGGTTTGGGAAAAAAGTGACGATGGATTTTATCGAGGGGTTGCCTCTATCAGAAGGGTTCACGGTGATCATGGTGGTCGTGGATCACCTAAGTATGCACATTTCATTCTCTTACGACATCCGTACATTACAGTCTCAGCTGCGACAATGTTATCTTGGAAGTGTTCCGTTTGCACGGGGCGTCAGAATCAATTGTATCAGATAGGGAGAAGATGTTTCTCAGCCATTTCTAGAAGGAGTTTTTAGATTGTAAGGGACAGTCCTTAAAAGATCCAGCGCATATCATCCCCAGATCGATAGGTAGACATGGATGATTAACAGGAGTGTGGAGACATACTTGTACCACACCACAACACAGACAATCCTTTAGAAGCTATTCTATATGTGAGATCCACCTCACTTGACACATTATGGGCATAGTATCACACCAATATCGGGCGTTGATCAGTACTTGAAGGAGAGAGAGAGGATACCAGCAGAGCTCAAGGGGCATTTACTGAGAGCTCAATAAATTATGAAGAGAAAGACACATAAATAAGGGAGAGGTGCAAGTTGAACCAGGAGAAATGGTCTTCTTGAAACTGAGACCCTACCGACATAAGTCATTGTCCAGCAAAAGCTAAAAACTGTCATAGCGATACTTTGTGTAGGGATGTCAAAACGGCTCGTTGTTCGCGAACAACTCGTGTTCGGCTCGTTCGCTTAACGAGCCGAACACGAACAACACGAACAAATATTTGTTCGTTAGTGCTCGGCCCGTTTTGGTTCGAAATACTACTAATCATATATATCTTTGATGAGTAGTATTTAAAAAAAATTAATTGTCTACGAGGCTACGAAGATTTGTAGTCAGTTAAAAGTATTAATTAAAAAAATATAATAAAATTTGTTAAATTAGATTCAAATGATGTTTAACATAAGCAATAATTTTTAAATTTTGTTCAATCCTTAACATCTTATGGCTAAGTGATTAGGGTTGTCAAAATGACTCTTTATTCGTGAATGACTCGTTTTCGGCTCGCTATACAAACAAGCAGAACACATACACACTTTTCGAGCTCGAAATATAAACGACCCAAACACAAGCTGAGCCTGGGCTCGCTCGTGTTAGATTCATTTACACCCTAACTTTGTTCCTTATGAGATGATGACACTCATCAGTGCAGTGGCCTACCGTTTGAAGTTGCCATCATCGTCTGCATTACACTCGGTCTTTCTTGTATTACAGCTGAGACGTGCGATTGTAGATTATACACCCTCATCTACTCTACCACCGACTCTGACGGAGCACTTCGAGTTGAATCTGGAGCCACTAGAGATCGAAGGAGTGCGTCAGGAAGCGGGGGTTGCGAAGGAGGTATTATCTAAGTGGAAATTTTTGCCAAACTATGAAGCAATGTGGGAGTCTTACTGGGTGATTCACAAGCAGTTTCTATCATTCCACCTTGAGGACAATTTACTTTTTTGGGAGGGGAGTGTTGTTGCGGTTAGAACTTGACCGGTTTATCAAGGACCGGTCGAAAGCCATCAAAATGGCCCACAACAACAAGAAGCGGGTTGATTCCTTTCATAAGAAACAACCGAGCGGCAATTTATCGCAGTAGAGGAAAGTCGGGCGTATATGGGTCCATGAGGGGCTTAATCACATACTCAAGGAAAAGAAATTAAGAGAATTTGCAGGGAAAGCCGGAAAGGAAAGTTTTTGAAATGATGTGAGAGGATTCTACTTAGGGGAGTAACCAATGGTTTGCTTGAATCGTGCATATTTTGTTGTGGTTATAGTTTTCTTTCTTCTTCTGGTGTTCCTAGCGACATCTAGGGTGTGGGACAGACGTTCTACCTCTCGAATAATAAATCAATCTTGTATATTGCTTGTTTTCCTTTAATTTTTGTAAGAATAACCCCTATTTGTGTTTCTTCCACCTTTCTATTACCGTTTCGTCGTGGTCAGTTCACTGATTTTGGTGCTGAGGCGCATCATAGGGCTCATGAATTGCAACACCTTGAAATTTAGAGAGTGAAGGATTTAATGGATAATCAACTTCAATAGAGATAAAGAAGTTTGCCCCAAAAAATTTTGCACAACTTGTTCTTGTCCGAGGAACAAGATATGGAAGCAATCATGTAGAAAAATTTCTTGCAAAGGAATGTATATGATGGAGAATGGAGACAAAAAGGAGGTGATCAACATTGAATAGCAAGCAAAAATTTGATTCCTCGAGAATTTGAGTCTTAGGTCTTTGATACCATGTGCAAAAATGTTTAAGAGTAATATTAATTTCACCCGATTATAATTACAAGCAACAATGCCGTCATATATGGGCTATGCAATTGATAAAAATCATAGGAACTTATGCATAAAGAAAATATATTTGAAAATTGAAGTCATTTTGAATGAGAAGTTTCCCCAGTAAATAATTACGACATTTAAGAATTAGTCCGAGCTGTTATCATACGGATCCTTTCCGAAAATTACACGACCACATGATCTTTTATAGGAATCACAATGCCTACAATTACTGGATTTTGCTGTGGAAAGATGTAGTCCAATATTTGACAACACAAGCGTGCCTTTCAACAATATGTCCTTATCGAAATATAATCATATCATAGTTATGGGAGTTAATTGATGCAATTCTTTCATGATAAAAAAGCGGTTCCCTTTTTTTTTGGAAATGTTGAGTTGGTTGATTGTTTTGGCCAAAAAATTCTAAAGCAAACGATTCATATCTTATTAATTTATAGATTTGAAAGATTCTACCATGTTGCTTGCAACATAGTTTATCTTCTTAGCATTTTCCTAATTTTGATAGGCATATCCATCTCCATTTTTCTTTTGCCCGCATTCCTTCAAAAACTAAAGCAATACCTTATTTTTCTTAAATTTTTATCATAATTATTATATACTCATATTTGAAGTTTTTTTTTAAAATTTAAAAATGACTAAATTATAGCTTTAATTTTCAGTGGAAGTTTTCCTTATTAGTAAAACTTGAAAAGAATTGAGATAATATAGGATAATTTGATCTTAGCCAATAATGGTGGCACTACTGTCCATCATCGACCACTCATTAAGGCTAAAATTATATTTTGTGTTTATGCAAGATGTTGTGGGTCATAGATAAGTGGATTCATGCAGGCTATCCGTGGTTGTTGCGTTGGAGATGCTCATCTCAATATGTTATGTAGGTGCGAGTAAACCCAATCCATTTTGTTGGTGTGCCAAGGACATCATGTATTATTTTGGGTTATAAATTATTTGAATTTTGAGATTTATTTATTTTATTTGTGGAACTTAAATGCAGTCATACTATTCAAGTCTTCTGGCACTTATTTTCTCAGCAAAAGTTGATCTATGGATTTACTTGGGTAAATTGAAGATTAAGCATAGAAGAGTAATTGTTGGACTATGATTTTTTTAATCTATGGATAATGTTTTCTAGCCCTCGTATAAACTGTTGGTATTAGTTTGACTATGAATGGGAGGCACACACGATCTATGTTTGTACATATTTATGGCATAAAAATGCACCGAGTATTTGTTATTTGAAAATTCAGATTGTTGAAGAAATTATTATCCTGCATTTTTGTTTTTTGTTATTTTGGAGAATTATAAATGCCTATGAAAACCTGCTTGTTAAGTTTTGAAATATATACTGAATTTAAATAATTCAATAAAATAAAACAATGAAAACTTCTGAAAACCTTGAAATTTTGTAACTTGGTAGACCACCCTTAAGTTTGAAGCCAAAGCAAAACGTTTGTTTAAATTCTTTGCTGAAGTTTTGCTTTTAGTATTCTTGTCGGTTAGTTGAATTGATTTTTGGTTGTTCATATAATTTTCTTTTTTCTCTTTTTTATTTCTTTTAGGATTGGTTATTGGCTATGGAGAATTTGTTTTAATTAGAAATTTAAGTCCTGGTTGTCCACATGATTCTATAATAAATAATAGTGAGAAACGTATGAGTTGGTTATTTTTTTCAAGGTTTAAAATTCCATAATTGAACATGGTTGTGCTTTTTGTTTGCGAGACAAGATATATGTCTTGAAGCGTTTTGAGGCACGGGCTCTTCTAACCACTATTAATCTATCTTTGAACCATGATTCATCCACTTTGAATCACGATGAATGATCAAAGCAACTTCTAACATATTCTATTCTACTTCAAAAAGCAAATCACGTTTATCCCCTCTGCTAGTATTTTGGTCCAAAGGAAAAATTTTTAGTTTATTTTTCTATGAAAGCAAACAACTAACTTATTTCTCTAAATTGCACTATTATTGGGCATGTAAAGTCAAAATTTTCAATAATAAAATTGGCTTTTAGTTAATATATTTTATTTATTATTATTATTTTTTTAAGTCAACCTCAACCTTAAATATTAGGCGTATGCCTCTTAAATTTTGAGATTAAGGACATCTCACGTAAGAGTTCATTAAGGTGCATGCTTCATGGTGAAATTCTTAAGAGACTGAGATGCATCTCATATTTATTATCAATATCTTTTTTTATTTGAACGCTTATCTCTCTGTTTTTTGTCTTTTAATGTTTGGATTTTTTTATCTCTATTTCATTGGGCACTGCTTGATAAAATCATGCATTTACATGCCTGTCATGTGTTTGATTACCATGTTTATCGTCATTGCACTTTATTACCTTTTATTCATTGTGTGGCTGCTATTGGTTTATGACAATGTGATCATTTATTTATTAGGACTCCGTAAAGGACGGAAGATTTCTCGGTGGTTTACTTCTTATTTAGCATCAAAGGATTCTAATAAATCTTCAAAAGGTACTTTTGACAGTGAGGTTAGTCTGTGGCTAATAACATTTTACTTTTTTTTGCCTTTGTCTACTGAGCATTTTTTTTAGAACCGTTACTATCGACAGATTTTGCAGGCAAAGAGGTCAAGTTATCTTCTCAAAGAAAGGACTGAAGAGCAATTGCTGCTGGAATGTAACTTAAAGAAAAAAGCATGTGGACCACAGAAAAGTTATTCACATGAATTAGGAGCCAGAGGTGTCCCTCAACCTACACAGCCACGTGCGCGGAGTTACAGTGACTTGAAGGTGATTGGCTTTTTATAGGGCATTTTAAAGATAAAATAGGGCATATATAAACAGGTTTAGGAGAAATGCTAGTTTTTCTTTTGGAGCACTTCTCTTAGTTTTTTGAACATTGATCTCTTTTCTTTCTTTGAAGCACACTCATTAGAAAAAAAAAAAAAAAATCCTCTGCTAAGTTTGTTATTGCTTGAACTTCAGGAGCTTTTGGTTTCATTTCATTCAAAGTTTGAGGCAGCTAAGGAAGTCGTGAATGCTGACCTGGCTGCTTTTGCAGAAGATGTTGCTGACGCTCTTGAGAATGGCACTTTGTCAGCAGAGCAAGAAACGGCTGAGTATCTCGTTGCGCTCTCTGAGAAGTGCATGGAAATGTCACCTCCTAGATTCAGGGATGATTGTGAGGGGTTTGTTCAGGTTCTTGCTGAGAGGTGGCAGAAGTCCCAAGGGGGATGTATGAAGCAGCTCTTAACACGCATGCTTTTCATTCTAACACGCTGTAACAGGATATTGCAGTTCCAGAAAGATGGTGACCCAATTAATGAGGAATCTCTCAATAGATTCCAGCAGTGTATTGAAAGTGTTCCTGCTTTTGACAGGAAATGGGTTCTTAGTTCTCAGAATACTTATTTTGATATTAACAATTTCCAGGATGATAGCCACACTAAGCATGAAAGAGAGGATTTTAACAAGGTAATGAGAAATTTTGCTATATTTGTGGCATTTCTGCTGTTCAGCTACAAACTCGATGTATTTTGGTGTGAGCTAAGATATTCCTGTTTTATATTTTTCAGATCTCTGTCACCTCATCAAATAACCACACAACTTTGTCTAATGCATCCATATCAACTTTTACCGAGAGCATTAACAGTGGAGATGGTTTTCCACAGCCCCAAGGAATTTATGGCAGCATTACTGAAAGGCTATTGGGCATTTGTAATTCTGATTTTCTTTATGAGCAGGAAGGTTCTGAAGTTCCTGATTTAGTAATCTGCCGGATCTGTGAAGAGAAGGTTCCAGCTTGTCATTTGGAGACTCATTCTTATATATGTGCTTTTGCTGACAAGTGTGAACTTGAAGGCTTTGATTTGGATGAACGGCTATTTAACATTGCAGATGTTTTGGAACAACTCCTAGATTCTTACAATCAAAGTGCTTATGCATCATGCAGCAGCCCTGAAATTTCAAGAATCCAACATGCTAGTTCTGTACCTGGGTTTGAAGTTTTATCGCCCAAATCGCAGGATTCCCACCAAAAAAATGATTGGATGTTTGATGATATTCATGAGATGGATACAGCATCTATTGACGATCCTCTTACGCCTGTCTCTGGTCATTGGAAGAGTCTTCTTGCTATGAAGCTTGGATCTTGTCTTCCATCTTCATCTAATGGAAGTCCAACCCCAGCTTCCTCTGTCAATACTCCTCGAACGACCCACTTTGACTTGTTTTGGTTAGAGCATAACACCACCACAGAGCTTGAGGATCTAAGTCAGGTTATTTGTCCTTGTCTTTTGATTGCTTTATTTATGTAATGCTTTCATATATTATGGCCAATGGTTTGACCGTCAACATCTATGGACAGAGAAAACAAATATTTATGTTTTTTTTCTTTCTCAAATTTAAGCACTTGGTTGATGCAAAAATCAGCGAAATGATGGTTCCTATATTGTGATTCCGGTCAATACTTTTAACTTTGATTCATGTTTTTATAGGCTAGTTTCTTACATGCGTGACTGAACTTGTTCGAAAGAATCCCAGAAATGTGGTTGCTGTGGCTGCAGATATACTGATGTAGTTTTGTCCCAATATATGCTAACACAAAATATCTTGTTCATTGGCCGTCATAATTATTTGGGGTCATCATTTTTAATTTTAATTCTACATTCATTCATGCCGTGTGATCATGAATTGATGAATCAATTTTAAACATTTTTGCAAAATATCTATTTATTTTATATTTGACTTGTTTTTTTCTCCGCTTCTTAATTCTTTTAGATTAACTTTATCAATCTATTACTCTTTTGTACAAGCCATATCTCATAATTGTATTTTACACTGTTTTATCTATAATCTGTTTAATTCTCTCCATTTGCCCCATATAATTACTTCATCATTCTTGGTTTTGTTGTACATTTATCTTAATTGCCATTTTTTGCATTCAGTGTCTTTTTTAGCACCAAAGTTAAGTCTCTGTAACATAACCATTCTAGTTGTAGTTTTAGAAATTTTATATTTTAGTTTCCATGCTATTATCTAATCTCATAATATTTCTAAGATATTTCTTCAGTTTAACCAATTTAATTCTAAAAATATATCTTCATATTTCTTCATTTTTTGACATCAGTATTTAAATTTGTGCAATTAGAGGCTCGCCTTCACATAATTGAAGAAATTTTTGTGTTGGGGCATATCTCTTGATTGGATCGCGGGAGGTGCAGGCCTCCGAATTGTGGAGGCACACAATAAGGCATGTTTCACCTTAGAAACAATTATACAATCGTCTCGTATTATATTTAGGTATTTAAAATCGTCCACTCCAAAATCTGTAAGCTCCCGTTTCTCACATCCTCTTGTCTTGGTCTCATGAACCATACAACTCCTTTTGAACACCATATGATTTTGCTGGCGCCGTCTAATTTGCCAGATGATGTCATTGATGTCCCCGCAACCACTTGCTGCTCTGTTGATCGAACATGTAAGCTACTGTCCCCCACAATCTCCTACATCCCGTCTCGCTCTCACGCAACCGATGTCGACATCGCCACCTCCTGCTTCTCTTGTCTCGACGTCGCCACCTACTTCTCTTTCCTTCAGCCTCGCTGCTTGCTTCTCTTGCCGCTGGCCTTGCCATCTACTTCTCTCGCCTTCGGTGTCACCACAACCACCTGCTGTTGCTTTGTCTCACATTTTTGTCTTTGTTTGGTTTGATTCGGTATTGTACTCCAACACTCCATAGTCTCACTCACTAAGAGTTTGTCTATTTGGGACCGTTGTAGTTGTTTGAAGAAGCTACAACGCAATAGTTAAAATAGAAGTTGCTGCGGAAAAGTTGCTTTTGGTAAAGCTGCATGTCTGTTTGATTAGTTCAGTTGTGCATCAACCGTGCTGCAGCTGCCTATGAAAATATAATATTGCCCCCGTCTTTTTGTGCTGTTTGTAAGATAGCTATTTTAGGATTAACAACTCATACATGAGTAGAAAATAAATTAAAAAATCATAAAAATTCACAGCTTCAAATATTATATCCAAAAATTATATCTCACTTAATAATGAGCAACTTAGCAATTAAAAAAAAGATAAAAATGCAACGGCAACAAGTGATATTATCGTAATATTACTTTTAAGATTTAAACAATCAATCCTAGGGGAAAACTTTTTCTCCATAAGGCATCCTCTACGCATGGTTACTATCTTAAGTAGACTTATCGAGCCGATTAACCCATTAAGAAATCATACTTCTCTTCTAATCTTTTTCTTGAACAACTATAAATTTTTTTCCCATAGCTACACTCTCTTCGCGATGTAAATAGACAACATTGCAATCTACAGCTGCAGTACGGGATTCTAAAAACAACAAAAGTCTTATAGCTCATATTTTCTTTAATGTGAGAATCCCAAACATAAATGAGGTTCTATTAATAGTATAATGATAAAGTTATATGATAAATTAATTAATAAAAATAACAAAAATACAATGCTAAAATTTATATAAAAAAGGTCTCAGAACAAATATAAATTAACAAATAATCTGTCATTATATGAAGATAAAGTCTTATAAAAAATTGGTCATGGTTACGTTTTAACGATGAAATGTTGAACTGTTATATGCAGAGAACCATATCGACACAAAAGCTCTCCAGAAGAACCCTTACAATCATCTAAATAATTGGATCAAACTTATATATGTCAAATCATAACAACATAAAGGCCATCGTGAAGAACCCCTACGGTCATATATCTTATTGTAGACCTTCAAATAAAAAAAAATCTTATATCACAATCTATGAATTTCCATATTAATGTAATCGAATGAGAATTGCGTGCTCGATTTGTATGTAAATCCCCATGTAACTTCCATATTATAGCTGCCATCTATCTATGAACACCACAACGATCTTGCCGCAATTTTCCTAAACATTCGAATCAAAAGACAGAGAGATGGAATCACCATCGAGACATCAAAATACTCACGGACACAACCACCACCATAATTTACTGCTCAAATTCATAGATATCACATCCCCACAAAATATCATGTTGAGGGTTAAATCTAATTGAAATTCTACATAGACAATCAATATGTAATTGTATAAAAAATGGTAGAAACCAACCCAAAAAAATTATGACAGAAATTGAAGGCACCTCCAGAGAGATTAGAGCATAGAGGAGAGATAAGATGAACGAAGATCGAATGTACCTCTCTTGGGATCCCTCATCTTCATGCACAGATAAGCTCGAGTTAGGGCAAAACGAAATCGGGGAAGCGACAACAAGGAGAGAGAGCTCTCGAGTAATAACCCAACATAAAACATGGAACGTAGGCTGTGGTGCCTGTCGTAAAATCAAAATTATGATGCGTTGAATCGTTTAGAACGGCTGGTGTACTTTGATTACATTCTGGTATATAGCAGATTTAAGGAGAAACACTCGCAACACATTAGGATGGTTTTCGAGGTTCTACGATAAAAAAAGCTATATGCCCATCCAAAGAAGTAACACTTTCTGACAGCTCATGTATGTTTTTTGGGTTATATCGTGTATAGTGCAAGCATCCAGATGAATTCCAAAAAGGTTGAAATCATTTTGAGCTGGATTACACCACAGTCTTTCGCCTAGTTGAGACAGTTTCTGGGAGTAGCATCATTCTACAGGCGATTCATCAGGAGCTTCAGAACCATGAGCATCCCCTTGACAGAGCTTTTGAAAGAAGAGAAAGTCCAGTGGACTGACGCAACTCAGACCAATTTTGAAATCTTGAAGGAGAAGGTGACACAAGCACTATTTTTTGCATTGCCAGATTTCAATCAATTTTTCGAGGTAGAGTGATGCATTCAACATGGGGATAGTAGTACCGAGCCAACGTCACCCCATAGCCTTCCTCAATGAGAAGCTGAATGAGTCCCGGATGAAATGTTCGACTTATGATAAGGAGTTTTATGCTATTTTGAGAGCCCTTAATCTCTGGAACTATCACATACTGACGAGCGAGTTCACCTTGTTCACGAATCATGAAGCTTTGAAATTTTTGAACAACAAGAGCAAACTGAAGGGCCTACACGCATCTTTGGTAGAGTTCTCGGCGTCATTCCAGTTCGTGCTTAAGCACAAGGTAGGAAGCCAACACTGAGTAGCAGACACACAAGCCGCCGTCACTTGCTAATCACTTCAATGCAAACTCGAGTTATAGGTTTTGAAGTCGTGCAGTTATACAGGACATACAAAAACTTCATAGGGATCTGAGTATAGTGTTAGGATAAGCCCACTGACCAGTACCACAGGGCTGATGGTTACTTTTTAACCATAATATGTTGTGTATTCCTAGATGCTTGTTGTAGGAGTCCATTGTTCAAGAAAGGCACAGTGGAAGACTTGCAGGACACTTTGACAGAGATAAAACACTTGTACTTGTGAGAGCATACTTTCATTGGCCTGAACTGACGAGAGATGTGGAGTGACACATCGGGTAATGTCGGATTTGTAATATAGCCAAAAACAGATGAAAAAATACTCTGTAGGCGGATATCAACCTGGATATTGTGGTAGGTCTCCAGCGGAATACAAATTCTGTGATGATTATGGACAAATTCTCGAAGATGACACACTTTGTATCCTGCCATCGGACGCTGTATGCATTTCATTTTTCCGATTTATACTTCAAGGAGGTAGTGAAACTCTGCGGGATAACTGGGGCCATCATTTCCTATAGGGTTGTCAAGTTTCTGAGTCATTTCTGGAGGACTCTATGGGGTAAGCTCGACACCAAGTTTCAATTATGTTCAACATCTCACCGACAGATGAACGGTCAGACAACGATAGTGAACAGAAGTCTAGGGAACCTTTTGAGATGCTTTGTGGGAAAGAATATTAATCATTGGGATTTGACTCTAGCTCAAATTGAGTTTGTTTACAACAAATTTGCGAGTTAGACCACGAGACACTTCATTTGAGCTTGTTTATGGGCACAACCCGCTCACTTCACTTGTCTTGGCAACTCGTTTGTCGACATCAGAGATTAATGAGGATGTTGAGGAATTGGTGCAAGAGATTCAAAAGTTATACGAGGTGGGAACGGAGATCACTTTGCAGAATCATAGGTACGAGGCACTGGCAAACAAGACCAGGAAAAAGATGACTTTTCAAGAATGAGACCTAGGGTGGATTTGGCTGAAGAAAGAAAGGTTACCCTAGGGAGATTTTAGCAAACTCAAGCCAAGAGCAGACATACCCTTCAGGATTCTGAGAAGCTGAAGGATAATCCCTAAAAGATTGACCTTCTAGGGGAGTATAATATTTCTGCTACCTTGAATGTAGCTGTTTTTTGTTTGTGCTACGGGGAAACAAAAGCTCGGGAAACTGACACGAGACGCATGGTGGTTTAACCGGCGCAAGGCTAAACCGGTTCAGCCTGGGGTTGCGAGAGATTGGCCATCCCCCTGCCCTAATTGAACTTGCCGCCCAAGGGAGAAGGTCTTTCCCTTTTAGCAATCTCCTACTATATATGTGTCATGTTCTCTATTTAAGGTTTCAGTTTTTTCGGGCATCGAATTTCTTGTCGTCGGCGTTTCTCCCTTGCTAGGGCTATATCCGAGGACAAGTGGTACTCCGACTGTATTTGACTCCGATGTGGTGATTATCTCCTCGATCTTCGCTCTAGTTCTTTGTCCCTGCTTGCTGCTGCAGCTCTTGCATCCCTCCTATCACCTTTTTCTCTCCTCTTTGCTCTTAGCCGCCAACTCTAGACCTTCTCCTTGCTGTTAGTTGCTCTCCCGCTCTTATTTGCTCCCTACTGCCAACTCCAACCCATCTCCCTTCTGCCAATTGCTTTCCCCGCCCTTTTCTGCACCAACAACCACTCCAACCATCTCCCTGCTGCCAATTGCTTTCCTGGCAATCCTCTGTTCCTGCCGTCAACTTAAGCCCTCGTTATTGTTGATCATAGTTGGCACCCATTACCCCAGCTAATTGCTTCCCCATCCAACCACTAGCTTTTCTTCAGCCATCTTCCTACCCCATCTAGTCACCGGTTCCATCACCTTGACAGCAGCCCACTCCCTTCCGTCCTCGCCCTAGGATGTCGTTTTATGTTTGTGTTGTTATTTTTATAATTGTCAAGAGTCTTTGTCTGTAATCCTTTTGAATTTCAACTATAATATTTGCATTTCTATTGTGATTTTGGTTAACTTTGGTATCCCTATGTTTGGTTTATCATTTTTCACTTCACTTTGATGCAAGTTGCGTGAGTTGGGAGATTGACATTGTTATGAAAGCTTAAATGCAATCCTAAGAATTTTGCTCATGAATTTAGAAAATTATCATTAAAATTAAATTTATTGAGGAAATATATTTAGTAATGAGTTCTTAGTTACTCATGTTTAACATTTTGATTACCTTTTATTGAACTTAAAATGAAAGCCATTATTTTTCTAACCTTGTGCGGTGTTTCATTTCATGTCACTATAATGCACAGTTTTTGTTTAACAATCAATGTAAAAGTGTTATTATAATTTTGTAAATTTTATTTTTCTAATGAATAGTTTTGGAATTATCATTTATGACTACATTTTTCAGGACTACTTATTTTGCACATATCATTGATTTCTTAATCGTGGGTTTCTGTGTGTGAACTTTTTGCCTGCTTTTTTATAGCGCAACAGCAGCATTTGATTTATAACTTTTTTTACTCTTGTTTAGAAAGGTTTTGCTGTTGAATAGCTCTTTGTGATCGTGCTCATCATCCTTAATTCTTTTTTATTCGGCTGCATTTCGTGGTTCAAAAAGTTAATAATGGTTATATTTTAAATAAATAACATTTTTCCATGAGAATTTCCTAGTCGACTGTGCAAAGAACTGCAACCGTCCCTAACATTCTCTAAATGGCAGTGGAGTTTTGTATGCTCTTTTTTCTTAACAGTATTGATGCAGAGCACTTGAGGGTCTTAGGTTCCAAATGCTATTAAGATGATACAATTTTTGCAGGCAGCATACAAGAAATTAGGATTTACAGTCCCTAAGTTTGCAAAAGTTTCTTTCTTTAAGCTTAAACTCAAAAAATACATAGCGAGCAGTTTTAAATTTTGCATTGCAATTGACATCTTTGTTGTGGTAAATTTTACAAACATCAAGAATCTTGTAATACCATTAACAAGTATTTAAGAATTAAATTTACTAACAAAAGAGATTGCTACTTTGAATATAATACATGCCTCATGCCAATACAAAGAGAAAGCATAAACTTCCTTTGAAGGCTTTTTATCAATCTTGCATCACACCGGAAGCAATGCTACGTCTAACATGCACGCAGGATTTTAAGAAGAATTCTAGAATTTTATCATACAAAAGCTATATGTTTACATGACTAGGATAATTCATTCATGGATCTGTCCACCCTAACAAGAATAGCCTATACTATCTTGATTGGCTAACTCTCTCATTGTTTCAATTTAATTTTAAGAAAATGTTTTTTGCCAAAATTATGATGACGTTCAAATTTTCCACAGAAATTGGCCCTATAATTGCAAGATAGCTAATTGCCTCTTGAGATGAAATTTTGGAATAGATAATCCATGGTTACTGGGGGATCTCTTACGACATGTTAGTAGAGCTAAATTCAGGCTATTTGAATTGCAGTGTTGAACAAATTTTGGAGTGCAATATAAACACTTTTAAAATTGCCACCTTGAAAGCTTAAGATGAACATTGCTATAGGGCGCTATTCACATCAAGCAATAGAACAAGTCCAATTAGATAGCTTCAAAGCTACCGCTGTAGCTGTACCTGTAGCATGTAAATAAAAAAAGCCATTGAAAATGATATCTGATAAATCTATTTACCATTAATCTACCGATAACATTTTTCCAGTTATAGGATTTACAGTGATAAGCACAGATTTCTTTATGTAAATCCTAATCACATAACTCCGAATTCCCCACACAATTATTTAGCTCTGCCTAAGTAAATCCACGAATAAGCAACAAATATCAAGAAACACGGGACCCAATCAACAAACGAAAATCCCCATGAACCATCAAAGCACTGCATCCAGCCACAAATAATGCCTCCAGCTCTTTGAATAAACTAGAAAAACATCAAATTAAACTTCAATTTACAGTGAACCTACTAGCAAACCTAACTGAACCCAACCAATAAAATCCGAAAATTAGGTAAATACATGCCATTCTCATAGGCAACATTATCATAGACAAGCTATCAAATAAACAGAAATGAAACTGAATAAAATTCCCTGATGATTTTTTTCCTTGCTTTTTGTTAGATATAACATTTAGATCTCCATCAACAATGACTTGTTGATATTGATTTGCTGTAGTGTTGTTATATATAAATCATATTGATTGCTGCACTAGAAATGCAACAGATCTCTTCTTTGCATTTGCTTCCCCTCCGCATTTACGATGCCATTAAGAATGGCTTTGCAGGGCTTGCTGTTTATATTTGCTAGACAGGATGCATCCTCTTTTTTTTTTTCAACAAAACTTAACTTTATTAAACAAACTCTATCTTTGATGGCTTAATTGTTCCATCTATGGATACTTTTTATTTGAGGGTGCAATATCTAAGTCATCCTTATGTTAAACTCAATAGATTCTAGCATTGCATCAGTTTTCTGATGTTATATTTATCATTCACCTATTGGTTTTATCAGATTTCTTAATGTTTTTTTACGTCTTGTCCTTCTAAATGCTTAAAATATCATATGAAGTCGATGTAACTCTCTGTAAAGGATATCCTCTTTAGTATTGTATTTGAATCTGTCATTTGATTTGTTAGTAGTATGTTAAGGCAGTGTCTTAACGATCCTTTGCTTATCCTCTATAAATTTTCCAGAACTATGTTTCCTACTAAAAGGGTTATGACATTTATCCCTCTTTGAAACGTGGACAAAGAATGTGGTCGCGTTCATGTATTAAAATTGTAGGATGCAAATATGGCAGTCATAATACATAATCAGTCATAATAGAATCTAACTGGGTTCTTACTGAAGGACACTAATGTAATGTATAGTTTATCAGTTTGATTTCATAATTTGTGATTATGATATCTATGGATTATATTGAAATCTATTTTTTTTTAGTATCGAATAGTAAAACTATGAGTAGTTGTATAAAAGCATATGAAGGCATTCATTCTGCTAAAGAACCACATCAAACCATGCTAGTTTTGCTAAACTTCAGTAAATTAATTCATTGGGTGATGATCTATGGCCGAGCATTTGTTATTCACAATAAAATGCTCTGATTTCATTTAACTAAAAGTCCAAAAGAATTAATTTTGCTCTAAATTGATGGATTTTTTGTTCTCAGATGACTGAACTGGTTGAGATAGCTCGCAAAGTTGCGCGAGTCAATCTTGAAAGCGATGGGGTCTTTGAGTATCTGGATATGTGCTGGGAAGGTTTATTGGATATTCTTCAAAACAAACCTAAAGCACTTGTTCTAGACACTTTTGGAAGGCACATCAGAAACTTGCTGAGGTGAGCCCTGGTGCTTTAATTTTTGGGCCTGTGTTAAATCTTATCATTTACACCAAGGTTCTGCTTACATTTGGGTCTGTTTTAATTTAAATTTGCTACTGGATGGCGACATGCATTGATTCATAGGGAGAAGTATTTACTGGCTATGAAGTTAGGGGATGAAAATAGATTGAACGGCATTATCCAAACTGAAGCTGATGGGCATGTCCCCAGAAATGCATCTGAAAAGAAAATATCACCCCCTTTGCAACTCTCACACAAGGAGAGGATTGGAATTGATGACTTTGATCTTATTAAACCTATCAGCAGAGGGGCTTTTGGCAGAGTTTATCTTGCAAGGAAACGTCGGACAGGAGATCTGTTTGCAATAAAGGTATATACAGTATAAATTTTTTTGATTTTATTTTTGCCTCGTGCAACAAGGAGTCATGAGTTATAGCCTAGTTATTTTGGTCACATTTACATGATTGAGGTTCCATGTATGGTTTAAAACTGTAAATATATTAATTTAGGTAAGTATCTTTTATTCTATCTTTTAATTGATGTATTTACTTTTGTGAAAATGTTGCTTACAGATTGATATTCATATAGAAATAATATGTAATTTGCTGGTTTTTTAACTTAACTCATTAGATTTTATGATCTTGCTTATTTCTGGTGACATACATGTAGAGAATGGATGAATGGATGCCATTTTTTTTTTATTTCTTACGCTAATTTTTCTTCCTTCTGTGATACACGATATCTTAACTCTGTTCCTTTGAAGTGGATTTTTAGTCTAATATTGTCAGCTTCTTGATCCTCAAAAATTTAGCTCACTAGTTATTTCCAAGTCTTAGAGATAGTCATGTAAACCTGATTTTTTCTTTGCAAGTGTCATATTTCTTTATTTCCTTAAGTTTGTTTTGTTCAGTTTCTTGGCATGTATGATAAACATCCACATTTTACACTATTTTTGACAGTGAATTATTTTTTGCAGCCATATTTACATATTCGCTAGATTTTCTTCTCCCTTTCTATTTTCATAAATGTGTCGGGATAGGAATGATGAAGGCATTGGTATTGATTTGTCCTCAAGTACATGGAATTAGCTATTTTATCAAACAAAAGGTCAGCTATGGATTTTGTGATCCGACGACTAATTCGCAACATTGGATGAATTAAATTGTTTTTCTTGTACTTTAAACTCCATCCTTACTCTGTAGTCATCCCAAGAGATGGCTGAGCTGTATTCTACTTAAATTTCTTTGGAAAGTGGCCATGTACTTTTATTGGTTAACATTCAGCCAATTCCCATTTAAGTTTTTTAATCCATTATGCTATCGGACCCAAAAATGTTTTTTCATGATTGATTAGTTCTAGAATTTTCTTCTTGTTAATAGGCTAATGTCTAGCTATATACTTATGCAAAATCTGCTGCTAAATGTGTGCATATAGCCTATGCTAATATTATATTTTTTATAATGCTAAATTTATTATTATTATTATTTTCTTGGAATAATTGTATTTTTGCATATAACTTTATCTCCACTAATTTTTTAATCATGCAACATTGGCATCATTAACTGTATCGTAACTAATCACGTTCACATTACAGTTCATTATTTTCCATTCATTTCTATTAAGTGCTCTTATGAGTTTTAAATTAATTTTTTACGAATATATTTTTTAGCAATTTTTGTCCATGTAATATTTGGTCTTTATGTTTTTCTTTATTGTTTTTGGACACTAATTTTATTATCCTGTATAATAGATGCATTTTCTACTGTTTTTTTTACATGTCCAAACCATCAAATTTTATTTTTCAGTCACTTTTTTAATAGATGTTACTTAAATATTTTCGTTAAAATAACCGTTTTTTAATTTATCATTCCTAGTCTTATTATATATATATCTATCTTATTTTTTCCACTTTCAACTTGGATTTCAATGATTTTTTTAATAAGATTTCTTTTAAATTTTTAAATATTGCTTTATCATACAAAAATCTCATTATATTTCTCTATTTAAACTATGCAGCCTTAATTCTGCTAGTTATATTTTCATCTTTTAGTATAATAAATCCAAAATTCTTGGCATCACTTAATTTTTTTAATAATATGGAATGATAATTGCTAATATCATGCCCACTGAAAAATACTTATCATATACCTAAGTTTTGTTGTATTAAAGGCTACTATCTTTCAAACATTTTTCTATTGTTTTCTAATTTTCATTTATCTTAATGCATATCTCGTCAATTGGAATGGTATTGCCTTTCAAAGGCATACACCAAGGCGTACAATTTTGGATATCCTTTTTAAACACCTCCATAACTAATAGGAAAAAAATACATACATAATGTTTATTGATGTAAACCTATGATTATTAAATCCTTGGGTTACCCAACATTTGCTTTTAATACTTATTAATGTTGCATCATAAATATGTATTGGTTTTGCTTATTTATTGTTGACGCACCTTTCTCTCCTATAGTATAAAAAAATTATTTCCCCATTGTGCTTGATCCTACACCATCTTAAGATTGATGCAAATTATAGATTTTTTTTGCTTTTAATACTTATTAATGTTGCATCATAAATATGTATTGGTTTTGCTTATTTATTGTTGACGCACCTTTCTCTCCTATAGTATAAAAAAATTATTTCCCCATTGTGCTTGATCCTACACCATCTTAAGATTGATGCAAATTATAGATTTTTTTTTTCTTTTTTATGTAAACCCTCTATTAATTGTCTTACCTTCATTTTCATGGATGATCTTTCTTATTTGAAATTAAATTCATTTTCCAAATTTGATGCATTTTCTTAAACGTATATTTTATTATTCTCTCACGCTTCACAATATGACTTGTAAATTTAATTCCTCTATCGGTAGCACAATCTTCAACATCTTATTATTTCTTAATTGTTGTTAATGCATTTTTTCCATTTATTTCACCTCTTTGTTTTCAAAATTTTATTGAAAAAAATTGTTGATCAAATCTCTATACTCTCATTAATAACTGTTCACAACTTAATAGGTATCTAATGTTGATCGATGCTTTTTTATGTATTTTTTTTTAGCCTAACTTCATTTTATTTTTGTGGATAAATTTGTCATGTATTTCATTATTTATTTATAAGGCTCTTTTAAAATAATTTTTCTTGAAACTTTCATTTAGTATTTTATCAAATTAACATTTTCATCTTTTCTTGACATCTTCTATTCGGCCAGAGCCTTATGACCGGGCGATTCTCGTTAAATGAGATCATTATATTATAGTTACTGCAGTAGCCCGTATGTTCCCATACGGTTTTCTGTCATTTTAGTTGTGAATAATAATGGTATATTTGACTGACCCAAAGCTTTATGCTAGTTAAGGCCATTTTAAATTTATCCTTAGATAAAAATCTACTGAAGATCTACAATACTCTCTTGAACAACGCAACTCATAGTTGCTGACAATGATTTTTTCGATCGTGTTGGGTCGACTACCTCATATGACTAAGTATATTAGAGATCATGATGGCCTGGGGCAACAAAACCATGAGATTTTCATTGGGTTCGTCATTGTTTTCCTCATCATTTGTTTTAAGACCAAAGTGAAAAATTTTAGAATTTTAAACATCTTGTCTGTTGCTACTATATACTGATTTTTCAGTATTAAATGACTACCCTTAATCGAAAGTGCTCTCTTGTTATCAAGAGGGGGTAATTAACCATTGGGGCTTGTGCCTATTAGAAATCTATAGGAGGAGATTTTAGTGTTGTCCCAGAAACAAGTCACATGAAGACTGCAATGTTTTTTGTTGGATGACATAGAAGACATCACCCTGGAGTTCAATCGGGTCAAGAGAGATGCTACTATGGAGTGGAGAATATCCCAAAGACTTAATCGCCAGGACATGAATACAAATGTCATTCTAGGCTTGTTGGTTATTTTGATTGTCCTCATTATTGTTGCTATATGCATGAAATGACTAATTTTTTTTATGTATTAGAGTATTTTTTACTGTACTGAAGATTTTTGTGTAGCATGGTCTCTTTCTGTTATTTTGCTGTAATGATTCAGAAAATTGCAATTAATCAAATATATTACATATATAATTATAAAATAGTCTGTCTAATCATATCATTCACATGTCCCTGCTGAAACACATGAATATTGTCGGGCACAATCTATATCATAGACTGAAAGTGATTTGCCTAAGACATGGAGTCAGGATGTGGAAGGTGCATGGGAGATGATAGAGTTGAGAGGGAGAATTACGGATGCCATCGTTGTCGGTTAAATGGAGCGATTGTATGTTTTTTGTTATTTTATTTGCATTGTGTTGTGAAAATGTTTGTTGTTTATTGTATTGATGATTTATGCAAAGATGTCCATTCTGAATCTCAATATAGTGAATCTTCTATTTCTAGTTCTTTTGCATGTATTTCCTCTCACTTGGATGGCCTGTGAGACAACTGTGGGTATATTATGTAATTTAAATTTTTATTGCATGTTTTTTTTTGAAGGTCTATGATGAGATATTCGACCTGCGTGTTCTTTTGGATGAGCTATATGTTGTATTGGTTCCTAACGCACATGAAATCCTAATGAATGAACTGCTCTAGTACTAGTACTTTTAGTTAGGGCGGTACAAGAAATCCATTTTTTTTTTTTCAATTTTCGTTAGTTATAACTTATTCACAGTCTTGATCAATTTAGATCTCTCTGAATTGTTTTCTAGGCTGCAAATATACACCAGTAATATACACTAATGATATTGATCTTATAGTTGAAGATAATGGAATAGAAACTAATTGCATGAAGAATAATAATTTTCCGCATAAAACCATATAAGGACAACAACTTTGTAAGGATTACAGATTAGCTTAATTCGCACATTCCTAACCACACGTGTAATGGGCATTAGGGAAGGAGGCAATGGTTAGACAAAAATGTAAACTAATTGTGTGAAGATTAAACTTTTCTGCTAGGTGTATAGGTTATCTATTTTTCTACACACATGTTTAAACGCACACAAGCACGAACAGAAACACAAATATACATGAAGTGAGGAAGTGACAATTGAAATTTAAAGATTTGATCGAATAAAGTTGTTAGTTTGGGTAACAAGCCGAGTTTGGGTTCGACCCAATTATTGCCCAACCCAAAACTTCATCAAGCTTTTAAAAAAGTTAAAAATTTCAACCTGCACCTGGCTAGGCCAATATTACAACTTGATTCAACATAATACATTTAAGTTGTGTATGGTTAGTGTCAACATGCTTCCAACTAGTCATAATTGTCTGTTTTGTGCATGCTAACTCAAAATAAAAAAAAATGTTCTTTATTATGAGTTTATAATTGAAAAAATAGTAAAACAGAAGAATCCACTCCTCAATGAATTAAATTCAAGCTTTTAGGTTGATTTGAACATATGTAGCATTGATACTTTTAAAAAATGCATCGTACCCGTGTCAGACACTTATTGGACACTGACATGGACACGCCCGAACACGACTTTGACACATTTGACACATGTCCGACGAAGGACAAAATGTGTTTGAATTTTTTTTGACCGAGACACGGGTTCGACATGATTTGGAGAATAATTGGACACGAGAAGTATAAAATTATTAATGTACGTATAACTCTAATTATACCTCATAACCCAAGTTAAGTTTTATTCTTCCATACTTCATTTTGTGATGTCTTTATTAGAGAATAATGAAAAAAATACATTTTGAAGTGCTTCTATAATTTACTTTAGGATTATGTGAGAAAAATATGTTCTTATGTCTTTTTTAAAGATGTTAGAGTGCTTTTGATCCAGGTTTTGAAGAAGTTGGCTATGATACGGAAGAATGATGTTGAGCGTATAGTGGCCGAACGTAACATTTTGATCACTGTCAGAAATCCATTTGTGGTAAATTTTTAGTTTCATATCAAATACAAGTTAGCTTCTTTTAACCAGCAATATTTGAGTCTTTATTGTGTCTTTCCATCATGGCATGTTATGCTCTCTTTTTTTTTTCATGCATCTTTGTTTCTTGTATCGTTTTATAGAATTCATTTGCTTCCTAGCTCCTCGATCCTGTATTTTTGCTGCTCCTAGTTATTTCTTGCTATATAGTATCGTGCCATAGAATGTGCTTTAAAATTCCACTATATTTTCCATTATTTCATTACTTGTCAATGTGAATGTGTAAATAGGTGGCTTTAGATTTGGGCTGTCAGTTTTCTTTTTCTTTCTTTGTTATTTTTGCTCCTTCCTCTTCTCTCTTATTTTGGTGGTGTGGACTGCAATGAACCATGCTTGAAAAGGTTGGTTCTTTAATTTTTATTTTTTCTTAAGTGGTTGTTTATTTTACTGAAATTCTTTTATATATTGCTTATGATCGATTCCATGTGACCTGAGCTCTTTTTCAGTTTCTTTTTGAATCCTACCTACCAACTCTCTTCCGCTTCTAAGTTGAACCGCTTATCATTTTTTTTCAGCTAACAGTGCATAAGCTATTTTTTTTTGCAGGTGAGATTCTACTACTCGTTCACATGTAGAGAAAACCTTTATCTTGTTATGGAGTACCTAAATGGAGGTGATCTGTATTCTCTACTTCGTAAAGTTGGTTGCTTAGATGAAGATATTGTTCGCATTTATATAGCAGAACTGGTTTTCTCTAAACCCATCCTTCAACAATTTACATAATTGAAGTCTTTCATTGTAATGTTATTATATTCTCAGGTTCTTGCATTAGATTATTTGCATTCACTTGGAATTATACATCGTGATTTAAAGCCGGACAACATACTCATAGCTAATGATGGACACATCAAGGTTTGAAGTCAAATTTTTAACATGGTATCTTTGTTGTTTTATAACTTAGAGATTTCTTCATCTGTTTGAATTTAAATTTAAACAGACATTTAGGCAAGATGGTATCTTATCATAAAATTTATTTTTAAAATATTTCCTTCATTATTTATTAATTTATAATAAATTACAAAATTTTAATCTGTACATAAAAGATTCTACGGAGGTGCTTGCTAATACCTACATTAAACAGCTTACAGATTTTGGAATGTCAAAGATTGGACTAATCAATAGTGCCATCCACATGTCGACTACAATATCAGGACCAGCTCCATTGGATTCCTCAGAAAGCACTCAACAGGGTAGAAGAGAGAGTCAGGGTTCTGCTGTTGGGACACCTGATTATTTGGCCCCTGAAATTCTTCTTGGAGCCGGACATGGTTTTTTTTAACCCACTTTTCAACCTTTATTTCAATTTACATGTAGTTAGATTTAACTCGGACATTCTTTCTACAGATTATGCTGCAGACTGGTGGTCAGTGGGAGTTATCTTATTTGAGCTTATAACTGGGATCCCACCTTTCACAGCTAGGCTCCCTGAGGTAATCCTTATATCTTTCCTGCATCTTAGAACATTTATGCTGTGAAATGTAGTTCACCTTTAATGAGGTGTTCTGAATTGTTTTGGATGAATGCAGGATAGAGGCAGTTCTCTATAGGGTTTGGTAATTATTATGCAAATGCCAGTGTCATCTTAGTAGATAATCTGTTTTCGTAACGTCTTATTTGAAAGGAATGCTGTGAACTAGGTTTTAGACTACTTGGTTTGATACTATCTGTGGTTTAGTTTTTCACTAGGAATGTTATCCATCCATCATGAAAAAAAAAATTCCCCTCCCTGTTTCCTATCTACTCTGACGAGTTTTTGGGCCAGTGATCCATAATAGTTTGCTTGGGAACTATGATTTTATGACTCCAAAGCATGACTGTATGCCATTGGATTTTTTAACAGAGCTTCATTTGCTGTGCTTAGAAGTAAGAAATCAATTACTTGCTCATGACGCCTAACATCTTGAGCTTGAGAGTTTGCTTGGGGTACATGTGGAACCATTTTGACGCAGGCACATTGCTAGGGCTGCGCCCAATACGGGTGCTTTGTTTCCGCGGGAAAGGGGCCCGCAAACTCGCAAAGCCCCACGGAACAGCGAGATCGCGATCCCGCGGGAACTCGCAATAGCGGGAGAACCCGCGCGAGAGCGAGGATCGCGAACCTGCGCGATCTAGATGGGTGTCAATGGTGAAATTTTGGATTTTCTGGATTCTTCATGCCTTCCCCCTCTCCCCTTTTATGTAGAAGTTTCTTTAAAGCTGATAAATTTGTCCTTGAGTATGTGAGAGTCAGTTCTGAGTGTGTTGAGTTTCAGATCTCCTATGTGGAGTCTCTTGCCCCTTTGTGGGTTGTATTCAAGGAGTTGGTGGTGCTTCGGCTGTATCCTCTCCGCTATGGTGATTATATCTTTTCTTTTTTACCTTTTCCAAACCTTCTCCCTTCCCTCTTCCCAGCAGCCGAACTCTCCCTTCGTCACCCCGACGCTCAACCATTACCCCTTTGTACCGGTTATTACTACTGCACTGCCTTCCTAACTCCGTTAAAGCTCCTCCCATCCACACCACTACCGCTGTCGACCACCTAAAATCCTTCTCACTCGCTGTACTTACGGTTCCACACATTTCCTTTCGCTGCCAACAATATTTTATCACTGTCACCACCTCCGCTAGCCATCCCGACCCACCTCGCTGACCTCCACCACCCATTGGAATTGTGTTGTTTTGTGTTTGTGTTATTTTTTTGTTTGAGACATGTTGTAATCTTATTTTAATATTAATGAAGTTTGTTTTTGTGTTTCTACTAATTCTTCTAGTAGTTCTGATATCATTTGGTCTTAAAGCTAGCTCAACCCTAGTCCTATTCTAGGGTTCCGCAGCACCCGTCCTTGCCCAATCGACCTCCATCAATTTTTTTTCTTACAATTCTCAACTCTAGTTATGTAACTTGGGAGAGATGCATGAGACTCTGCTCGGGAAGAGATCCAACATGAAATTCCTCGTCTGTAACGGAGATCAGTCGAGCTAGATGACGAGAACCAGGAAGAGATTACCTTCGACCGTGATCGAGTGAGTCATGGGGAAGGCAGTAACGAGGATCTTTATCCGTTCCACAGGGAAGGTCACAACAACGAAGAATATTGGCCGTGCCGTTTTGGTACCCAATATCAGAGGAGGCCGAGAGAAGAGGCTCCTTATGGAGGTTAACGCGACTTTGACATCAAGATGGACCTTCCAGAGTTTGAAGGAGGTATGGATTCTGATGAGTTTATCGACTGGTTGCAATCCATTAAACGAATTTTCGAATATAAAGATGTACTAAAAGACAGACGGATCAAGCTAGCCATTATTAAACTAAAGAAGAGCGCTTCCCAGTGATGGGAAAATGTGCAGAGACTGAGGAAGAGGGAATGTCGTGAAAGATCACTAGATGGGAGAAGATAAAAGTAATGCTGAAAAAGTACCCCCCACCCCACTATCGCCAAGTTATGTTTCTAAAACTCCACAACTTGCAACAGAGGGATTTTCGCTTGACGAGTTCGCTCTTCAATTCAATCACTTGCAGATGAAATGTGAGCCGACGGAGCCAAAGGAACATATGATAGCCCAATATCTCGAGGGTCTTATACCCGCCATCAATGATGTGTTACAGTTACAGCCATACTAAACACTAGGAGATATTTAGACAATAACCTTGAAGGTGGAAAATCAACAAGTCAAAGTTGGCAACAATCATCTTTCTAGCAAAAACCTCCAGGCAGGCTGTCTTCTACAATTATCACGACCGACAGAGATCTCTCAAGAGGCACAGGCAAGCCTGGATAGAGGAATGACTCTACAGATTAAAGCGGAAAGAAACAGGAGAGGGCAACTCCACCAACACGGTGCCATACAGTAAGTGCTTTCGATGCCACAACTACGACAACATTGCCTCCAGTTGCCCCACGAGCAGGGTATTCACACTCATATCAAGGCACCGTAAAAAAAAATTAGCTATGAAGAGAAAGCCGAGGAACATGATGAGTATCAGCTTCCTCAGATGGAGAGGCGCTCGTGATTCGACGAATCCTACAAATCAAGGGCACGAGGTATTGTCAGTGGCTTTGTTACAACATATTCTACACTCGCTGCACTGTAAAAAGAAAGATTTGCAATCCAATCGATGGCGGAAGCAGCAAGAACGTGGTGTCGACACAGATGATAAAGAAATTAGGACTCGCAACTCTGGGATATTCCCAGCCATATTCACTGACATGGCTGAAGGAGAATCAGGTCAGCATCAACTGAAGATGTTGGGTAGAATTTTTTATTGGAGGCCAACTGCAAGACCAGTTGTGATGTGACGTAGTCCCTATGGATGCCTCGCCTCTTATTGGGACAACCGTGGCAATTTGACCGAATGCCTCATCACGACAGATATTAAAACATGTATTCTTTTACCAAGGAAGGGAAGCACATCACCCTCCTTTCTTCGACAGAGGCCAGGGTCACATGATCCCTTTTCAGTAGAACATCGTCGGTAGAATTAGTTTTATTGATGACACCAGACGAGAGGACCGAGCCACCTGCGCCCAATACTGGATAGATACGACGAAAGCTATGTCAGGGGGGCCACCGCACCAGCAACACCACCGCGGTGCGAAGGGGTCTGATTACTCTCACTACACGCTCGATTGAATCGATTATAGGTTACTCTGAGAAGATTCACCAGTATAGACATGGTGCACGACCTTAGAATGAGAGATTGATATGGACATTTACTCACAAGATAGAGTAGACCCTCAGATACCTCGAGCTGCAGTGCAATCGCCAGTGGGATCCAAGGTTGATGACATCGAAACGGAAGCTTTGGCCAATGAAGTCGAAGCTCTCCCAACTCTAGGAGACTGACGCAGGCGCGACGCTAAGACAACGCTCGATTGCGGTCGCTTTGTTTCCGTGGGAAAGGGCCCGCGAACTCACGAAGCTTATGGAACAGCGAGATCGCGATCCTGCGCGAACTCGCCATAGCGAGAGAACCCGCGCAAGCAATGAGAAAGATTGTGAACCCGCGCGATAGATGGGTATCAACAGTGGAATTTTGGATTTTCTGGATTCTTATTGTTTTCCCCCTCTCCTTTTGTGTAGAAATTTCTTTTCAGCCTATAAATTGCTGTCCTTGAGTATGTGGGAGTCAGTTCTGAGTGTAATCAGTTTTAGATCTCCTTTGCGGGCTGTATCCGAGGAGTTGGTGGTTCTTCGGTTCTATCCTTTCCGAGGTGGTGATTGTATCTTTCTTTTTTAACCATTTCCAAACTTTCTCCTTCCCTCTCCCCAGCCACTGAACTCTTCCTCCGTAACCCCAACACTTAACCATTAACCTTTCTTTCCGGCTATTACTGTTGCCCCGCCTTCCTAACTCTGTTCAAGCTCCTCCCATCCACCCTACTACCGTTGCCGACCACCTAAATTCTTTCCACTTGGTGTCCTTATGGTTATGTACCTTTCCCCTTGCCGCTGCCAGTATTTTGTCGCTCACCACCCCCGCAAGCCATCCCGACCCACCTTGCCGACCTCCACCATACATTGGAATACATTAAGAGTGTTTGCTTGTGTCGTTTTGTGTTTGTGCTGTTATTTTCTATTCGAGTCATGTTGTAACCCTATTTTAATATTAGTGAATTTTTAGTTTTGTGTTTTCACTATTTCCCCAACTAGTTCTGATTTCACTTTTGCTTATCAAGCTTTGTAGGAGCTTCACGCTGTACCTTTGAAATGATCATTTAATTGGTAGGAACTTCGAATGTGTTGATTGTTAAAAGGTTTCTTACAGTGATATGACATTCCAACATCCTGCAGCTGAAAATTTATATAAATATTTGTTTAATATATGGCTAGATTATTCGTGAGAATTCTTAAACCTGATTACTATTCATTATTTACATGTTAAAAACTTAACCTAAACCTCAACTCATATACATGTTGTGGTCTTTGATTTGAGTTTAGAGACATACCGCATAAGGATTTCCTTAAGCGCTCCTCCCATGCAAGCGCAACATTCTGAAGGTCTAATCTTTGGTTACCAGCTTCCCATTCTCCCACACTACAAAAATGAACCCACCGAAGGACCCAAAATTTTAGAAACAAGTAGATGAGCTTCTTAGCAATGGTTTTCTTCAGGAGAGCCTTGGTCTTTGTGATGTCCCTACTCAATCTTAATCAAGACGGCTTATGGAGAATATGCATAAATAGTAGAACCAAAAATAAGATCAGCTTTAAATATATTCACTTATATTTAGATTGGATGACATGTTGATTTTTTTATTTTTGTGAAAAATATTTTCTCTGCCGTATTATAATAAGCTCTATACTCATCTCGTTAAATTCTTTACAGATTGGCCAATAAGCTTAGCAGTTTTCTTTTACTAGTAAGTAGTAACATTTTATGGAAGGTTTATTGGTAGTTCTCCGCACTCTAAAACTTCCAGGTCTTGTACATTCCGTTTAGAGATATTTGATGATGGCCTCTTTCACTTTCTATCCATACTGGACATTCTGATTTTGTCCTTTTTCTTTTTCTGTTTTTCATGTTTCATCCTCTTTGTTAATGCTTATTATTATATTTTTTATATCTGCTATTTTTTCTTTGTTCATGTTGTGCTAATATTGTAGTACTTATATTTGACTATTTCCTTCCTTATGTACAGATGATCTTTGACAACATTTTAAATAGAAAAATTCCATGGCCTCACATTCCTGATGATATGTCGCCGGAGGCCAACGATTTAATTGAAAGGTCTTTCAGAACATTTTTTAGTGTTAGCATTCTTTTATTTTTGTATATCATAAGTTGTGGACTATGTGGTTGATTTTAATTTGTTTATGTATTAGGTGTTAATCCATATGTAATATACCTGAGATTTTGATACATTTGTTTGGGAAAATCTGATCGTGGACTGCATAATATTATTGAGCAAATAGTCCTAGAACAAAATATCTTAATAACAAAAGGTGGTGCTTATCATAGCCTTAACTCATAATGTATTAATATTCTTGCAGTTAATTTGCATGTTTTGCTAACTTAAAATTTGAATCTTGGTATTAGTATCACAGTATAATTGAGCCTTTTTGAAGCGTACGCGCATATAGTTTTTGAATTTATTTTAAAAGATGGTGGATCGATTTAACGGTGAGTTTTTTTATTGCTAGTTGTTCAACATTTATTACTACACTGCTGTATCTTTGTTGTCCTCATATTTCCTTGCAATATAAAGCGAAATCCTTTTATCTTCTTTCTCATTGTTCATTTCTGTGAATTGTCTTTAAATGATTAATTTCATCTTAATGGTAGCTGTTTGTGAGTGTTACACAACCGATATTTTAGGAAAAATGATTGATTTAAATGGAAGAGAAGAGATGTTTCAATTCTTAGAGGGTTATGAAATTAGGTATCAATAGCTAGTTTTGTAATTTTTTAGTGTACTGAAGTTTATGGGACTTTTGTCCCATAAAGTTAAAAATCACATTTTGAGTTAATCTTCATTAATTTTTTGATGTATTCAGTATTATTTGTTAAGTCTTCTACATGTTGGTCTAGTTGAATTTGAAAAAGAGATCAGTTAGACTTCTTGGTTACAAGTATTTAGTATAATGATACAAAACTCTTTCTACTATCTGTGAACCTTTCGTTACCTTTGGAGATTTTGCATTTCTTCTCAGTAACAAAATTCATTGTTTACTCAACATTTGCTTGTTTTAGAAATTTCTTCTTCAAAGATAGGTGGTCATTTATATTCATAATTTGCGGGTCTTCAAAAATATTATTGGCGATTCTGTTGCTGACTTTCACAACTGATTTTTACGACTAGGTCTCATACTTTTTGGCAATTTTTTTTCACCAACTTCCATGATCATCTCTTACTTGTTGGGGCTATGATTCATTTTATAAACAATTATTTTACAGATTATGTGATCTTTGTATTTTCTTTGCTATTGATATTTTTGCTTTGCGTTTAAATAAGAAAGAGATTTTCATACAAGGATTTGTAATTATAAACAAGTGCCTTTTAATATTTAGATATGAATAAAAAAAAAAGAAACGCACCTTATCCTAAGGCACCTTAAAAAATTATTTTGATTCATTTGAGGTGAACCCCTAATGTCATAATATTATAAGAATTAGAAGAATCTTTTGTTAGATGATATTAAGATATATCTATTACAGGATATAACATATTCTAGTTTAAAATTTTTCGGTTTGGATTTAATGCTCTGATTGAAAGAGAGGGTTGTGAATAGGTTGCGTGAGTGTGTTGCCTTGAGTTTTGTGAGCGGGGAGTGCAACAAGCAAGGGAGAATGAGTCTATAAGCGATTAAGTGGTAGTGTGCTTTTATGATGGAGTAAGATTTTATTTAAAAAAAAAAATCTTTTTCTTTTTCTTTTTTTATAAAATATACTTTAGACTTTTTGATTCGATTCCTAGTTTTCATTTAATTATTTCCTTTATTTTTTATGTGATGATACTTACATTTCTTAATTATTTTTAATTTTGCAAGTATTTTTTTTTTTTCAATTTGAGTCTTGTGTCTTAAACCGCTCAAGGCTTAGCCTGGTCTTGGTAAGGCAAAATGTCTTGTATATTGATTTTGCTTTTTTAAATCTTGTATATATGAAAATATAATCGAGTTATTTTTAAATAAAGTTTTAGTTGGATTTGTTATTACTTCTTTCGATGTTTACTATTTGACTATTATACTGTACAATTGTTTTGGAGAGAGCTTGGTTGTGTTTTTTTTCTATTTATACATTTTTTTCTTTATAAATCATGTTATTGATTTTCGTGCATTGAATTTTTTTATGTTGGATAAAATCTATTTTTTTTTTAGAGAGGCTATTTTCAATTAATTTTGGAGTTTATTGTGGCTCTTGATTTTTTTCTATTAAATTGTTATTTTATAATGTACATGGATTCTTTTTGTATTATCCATTTTAGTTAAAACTAACGAGTACTTTTTAAATTAGGAGTTTATATATGTAATTTATGTATTTTCATGATTTTCTTATCTCATTTTATATCTGCATTAGAAAAGCTTAGACCTCAAGACATTAAATCAGATTTGATGTTAGACCGTTTAGGCTGCATCATTTTGTTTAGATGTAAGATAACATCTTGTCAACCAACAAAGAAAATACTATCTAAATTAATATTTTTAGGCTATGATTTTGGATAGATTGGATTTAATTATTATGAGTGATATCTGATTAACTGAAACCACAATAGGAAAATCAATATTATTATTGAAAGCAAATAAATGGTTACAATCAAATACACTTGAAAAGAGAAATTACAGCAAACACTAAATAAACTCACAGTAGAGCTCAATCCATGGGTGGTAGAGGTCAGTTAGGTGGTTGGAGAGGGAAGATAGATAGCTGAAATGGGTTGTAGGTGATTGGAACAACAAAATGAGGGGCTGAAATCGTGTTGGAAATGAACCAGAGGGCTGAAACAGCGAGGGCAGCAAGTGGGGTGGCAAACGGAGCAGCAAGGCGTAGTGGGAAAGGCTGGAACGGCCGAGGGACAACAGAAAAACAGCAGGTGTGCTTTTTTTCGAATGACAACAGGGTTATGGATGGCCGGACAGTGGTTGAATTAGCAAGGTGGTGGTTGAATTAGCAAGGTGGGGGAGGGAATAATGGCGGCAGTGAAAGTGGAGTGCCGGAACTACAATGGCAGCAAAGAGGAAAGAGGGGAGAGCGATGGCAGTGGTTGGAACTGCAAAAAACATAAATTGAAATGACTTTGTGGGCTGCTACAGTGACGTACGGTGACCGGGAGCGACGTGAGTAATATGTGGAAGGGGATAAGGGAAGATAATCACTACCTAGGGAGAGAGACAACTAGAACACCACCGAATCCTTTGGATATAGACCTCTAAGGGAGCAATGGATGCCAGTGGGTGTCCTTAACAAACTCATGCCAAAAATTAAAAAACTAAAAACAAGAAATACATATATAAGCCCTAGATAATTAGGATTGAAACTCTTTTGGAAAGGAAGCTCCAATCCCTCGTGGGAGAGCCGATCAGCCCTCCTTGTCGGGAGAATCCCGCGACTCCCTTTACGCCATGCATGCGGTTTTATCAACGAGCCCACGACTTTATTTGTGTGCTCTCATCAATGAGATTTTAAATTACATTCCTATATTTTAATGATATTTAGATTGTTGAAATATTTTAGATTGTATATATAACTTAGAGTTGCTCTATTTTAAGTTATAGTATGTTTGAGTCTTAAATAATTAGAGTTGCTACTGTTAGATCGAGAAACATGGATGCAGAGCAATCAGGATGCCATGCAATGTATTTCAATAATTGATTACACTAGACTAGCTAATTGCACTATTAGATATTGGTGGATTTGTTCAACCCATTGATTAACTTGAGAGAAAGTTATTTTTTGGGATGTTTTTCAAGATAAAATCAAATATAAAACTTGAAACTTTATACTGTAAATTTTAATTAAAATAAAATTCTAATGTAAGGTTTTATGGGAACCTTGATATCAGATATGAAACTTAGATAATCAAGGGTTATTCTCTTTGAGCAATATTTTTCCATAGAATTATATATCATCCCAAATGCAGTGCTCACTATACTTTGAAGTAATCCTTCAGTCGGTAGTGCAAAGCTTATGAAAGAACAAGTTTTTAGAGCACTCGAAGTGCAATTTATTTATGTAATTATTGTCCTTTCTATCCAAGGAAAATGGTATGTTTAAATTTTGAGCGGGAACTAAACAAAGTTTTAAGGAGGGGGTGATCGTTTTTAGCTTGGAAAATGTAAGGGTGATATCGATGGGTTTTAAAACATCACTTTTGGTTTGAAAGTTTAGGGAGTTCCATGCAAAGCTCATTTATGCAAGTTTATTATTATTATTATTATTATTAATCTAATTTATACAAGCTAATTACAAAGATCATATTTAATAAGTTGGGAAAAGGTAGTTTATGGAAATGAGACACTGATTTGGCAAGTTAGAAGTAATTAAGAAATGATTGAATGATTTTGGTTGGCTCAAATTCAAGTCCACAAACATTTGATATATAAATTTATAGGTCAGTCGCCTACAAAATATAGCCCAAATGCAAAAAATGACTTCTTACTCAAGTTCTTTATATATAATAAAACTCATAAGAAAAAAAAATTATCAAAATAAAATGACACATAGCTAATAACAATGACCTAAGTGATATAGTAAATGAGTTCTAAAATGACTCATGCATCACCCTTAACGACTTTAATAAAATTTTCATGGAAGATAAGGCGAAGATGTTGACAAGAATATCACAATTACTTAAAATAAGGGCTTGTTTGGGTGCTCGGTAGTGGTACCTGATGTGGAGCTATGTCAAACAAGGCCTTTTCAGGAAATAAGTACTTTTGAATATACTTTAATTTTTATTACACTTTTTGCGGAGGGTATTTTAACTGTTGTTTTGTTGGGGCTTAACTTCTTCAACCTCTATTTTTTGTGCCATTTAACTAGTAATTCATTGTTGATTTGGTTTTTAATATCTTAAGCCGAAACATAAAGAACCAAAGAGTTCCCAAGTCTTTCGGTGTTCAACAGGTTTAGCCAAGTTTGTATTTTATTTAGTGACCAAATCTTCTCCATATGACTTTGTTTGTTGTGGATGTCTTAGGTACATATGATAGTATGATAGTGAGACGATAACTTAGTTTTGAGTTTTACTTTCATCTACAACACATAGGGATAAATAATACGTGCTTATTTTACTCATTTTTGTTTCTATGAAGGATAGAAAAGAAACATGGATGTTTGAGTCCTAAATAATTAGATTTGCTATTGTTAGATCGAGAAACATGGATGTAGAGCAATCAGGATGCCATGCAATGTAATTCAATAATTGATTACACTAAACTAGCTAATTGTACTTTTAGATATTGGTGGATTTGCTCAACCCATTGATTAACTTGAGGGAAAGTTATTTTTTGGGACGCTTTTCAAGATAAAATCAAATATAAAACTTGACACTTTATACCGTAAATTTTAATTAAAATGAAATTCTAATGTAAGGTCTTATGGGAACCTTGATATCAGATATGTTAGATAATCAAAGGTTGTTCTCTTTGAGCAATAGTTTGCCATATAATTAATTATCCTCCCTTTAAAGTCTTTCAAATGCTGTACTCACTAGACTTTGAAGTATTCCTTCGGTAGTGCAAAACTCACGAAAGAACAAGTTTTACAAGTGCAATTTATTTATGTAATTATTATCCTTTCTATCCAAGGAAATTGGTATGTTTAAAATTTGAGCGGGAACTATACAATGTTTTAAGGAGAGGGTGATTGTTTTTAGCTTGGAAAATGTAAGGGTGATAGCAATGGGTTTTAAAACATCACTTTTGGTTTGAAAGTTTAGGTGAGTTCTATGCAAAGCTCGTTTATGCAAGTTTTTTATTTTATTATTATTTTTTAATCTAATTTATACAGGCTAATTACAAAGATCATATTTAATAAGTTGGGAGAAGGGAGTTTATGGCAACGGGATACTGATTTGGCAAGTCAGAAGTAATTAGGAAATTATTGAATGATTTTGGTTGGCTCAAACTCAAGTCCACAAACACTTGATGCATAAATTTTTACATGAGTCACCTACAAAATATAGCCCAAATGCAAAAAATGACTTGCTACTCGAGGTCTTTAAATATAATAAGACTCATAAGAAAATAAAATTATCAAAATAAAATGTCACATAACTAGTAACAATGACATAAGTGATATGGTAAATGAGTTCTAAAATGACTCATGCTTCACCCTTAATGACTTTAAAATTGTCACAGAAGATAAGGTGAAGATGTTGATAAGAATATCACAATTACTTACAATAAGGGCTTGTTTGGGTGCTTGGTAGTGGCACCTGATGTGGAGCTACGTCAAACAAGTCATTTTAAGGAAATAGGCTCTTTTGAATGTACTTAAATTTTTGTTACTCTTTTTGGGGTGGGTATTTTAAGTGTTGTTTTGTTGGGGCTTAACTTCTTCAACCTCTATTTTTTGTGTCATTTTACTATAATTCATTGTTGATTTGGTTTTTAATATCATAAGTCAAAATATAATGAACCAAACCGTTCCCAAGTGTTTCAGTGTTTTGCGGGTTTAGGCAAGTTTGCATCTTATTTATTAACCAAATCTTTCTTATATGATTTTATTTTTTGTGGATGTCTTAGGTACAGATGATAGTATGACAATGAGAAGGTAACTTAGTTTCGAGTTCTACTTTCAACTACATCACATAGGGATAAATAATATCTGCTTATTGCCCCTCCCCAACTCACACAAACACAAAAAAAACACATAATGATTAATTGTGTGTTTGGGGTGACAGTGTGTGTTATACCATAGTTTTTTTTTTGTTTGTGAAAATTTGCGTGCATTCTCAAAAAACTGTTTTCTTCCATTAGACCTGGCTATCTGTGATAACTGCTAGAAAGCTATAATTTTACTTTTCAATAAAAAAAATTGTAATAGCCACCGCAGATTTTTAAAAAACAACTTTTTCAAACATTTGCAACTACCCCAAACAGACCCTAAGTGTTGCTTAAAGATTTCTAAAAGGTACTCTCAATGCTAAAAAAATGGTTGGAAGTTGCTCGATTTTGTAACTGAAGAAGAAAATTATTTTTTCTGCTTTTGTTTCTTTTTTGTTTGCAGTTTGTTCATTCCTTTTGTAACTACAATTACACATCTTTCATGATAGGAATTTGAATTTGGTAATCCTTCATAAATATTTATGTGTAGATTAGTGCAAGCTTATTTAAACATTCACTTAATGAATACTAAAAAATTGCACATACTTAGGGGCATTGGAGAGCTTTGCATTCACTTTGAATCTTCTATATGGGATCATGAAAATTTGTTATTTTATCAAATGCTACTGAATATAAGTACGTTACTCATTTACTGCAGATTACTTGTTCAAGAGCCAGCCCTACGTCTAGGTGCTAAAGGTGCATCCGAGGTAGGCTTAATATTTGCAACATCATTCTTTAAAAGTTGGCGAGTCCTTATGTAGAATTTACCGGGGTATTGAAGATATTCATTTTACTATTCTTCTTTTAGGTGAAGGCACATCCTTTTTTTAAAGAAATTGATTGGGAGAATCTAACACTGCAGAAGGTTCGTGCTGATAATGATCTTTAAGTTGCCACTTGAGTATATAACAAATATTTTTCGTCTTTGCAAGTTGTATTTGAGATAAGCCCTAGCCTTGTTGATGGGAATAATTTATTTCTTGTACCAAATTAGTTTGGCCTTTTTGAACTCTCAAAATGCATATTAGAATTACTGATATTCACCTCTACCTCCAAAACTAGTCATAGTTATTTGACAAAATTTTTAGCCTGGTCGTCGACTACCTAACGCAACCCCGCACTTGTCACATCTGGGACCCAGCAATGGCTGTGTTCTATCCCCAAAACTAGGTTTTTAAACAAGCCCTACAATGGGTATTTGTTCTTCTTATTTTAAACACCAACTTTATAAAATACACATCGTTTTTGACATCTCACTTATCTTGGTCTTTTTGTTGTCCCTATTCTTGATGTCTTACTAAGCTGCTATGACATTTATTGAAATTTATTCACATCTTGTAAGTATTCTATTGATCACGATTCACATTTCTTTTAATCCAAGTAGATCTTAAAAGAGGTCTACATGCCTGATCTTTTTGTGTTGACATTGCATCGTTATGGGGAACAACAGACCAAAAGCTTGTGACCAAAATAAGTTTGTCACTTTTATTCATGGAGTAGCTCATTCTAAATTAGTTAAAGCAATAAATTAAGCCATGAATGGTTTTTCGATTGGTCGATTATGAAGTTGAGTACTTGTTTTGGAATAAAAGCTTAATTCAGTTCATGCATTCTGTGGATCATTTTTTTTCTTCTCACTCTCGAGGATTACTTTCGTTTTAGATTCTCTCATTCGATGGTGCAAAAATCTCCCTACGTATAAAATAAATGATAAAAATGGTGCGCTAGCATTTCTTTCACCACCTTCTGGTCTCTAAAAACTCATCTTTCTTCAGTTCTTCTGTGCAAGTGAAAGAGCTTACATCAAATTGACTCTTCTTTTTTGTACTTTTATGGGTCTACTTCTAAGTAAGAGTGTACTCCTATTTTTTCTCTTGCATTTTCCATTTTTGCTAACCTGGGCTCATTTTTTTTTGGCTCAAGACTGTTCGTACTATCAAATTAGCATCTTACCATTCTTTAATATTTCTCATGTGATATTAAAATATTTTAAAACTTGGTTCATGTTCAGCTTTGACTCGATAAGAAAATAATTGAGGGAGCTTAAATGAATAAAGCACTCGACTCGACTCAATTTATTTACAACCCTAGCTGCATATCTAAATGAAGCAGATGTGCTATTATTGTTAACATCTTATGCACTTATATAGCAGCCATTAAACCGGCATTGTAATTGGGCCATTTGCTAACCTGCAATAGCATGTCAGATAAGCAGCTGTAACTATATCTAAATTATGTTTATTTTCCTCGATACATGAGGTGAGGTTCATTCATCTTAACTGTGCTTGTTTGTTCGTTTAAGGAATCTACTGTTACCTTTTCCAGGCCGCTTTTATACCACATCCTGAAGGTGAAGATGATACAAGTTATTTTATATCACGAAATCCACCCATTTCTTGCCAAATGGAAGACAACGGAAGTTCCAGTTGCTGTATCTCAAATGCATACAATTCTAACTTCGACAAGGATCCTGAGACCAATGTTCGTATACGTTAGTTTTTTTAGTTATGCAACTTTTTTTTCAAAAATTTGAGTATTGATCCATGTTCTTGATTATTTTGAAACACATTTATTTATTTATTATTTATTGAAACATGTTGATGGGGATGTTTTTTAGTAGAATTCAAGTTCGATGGTTGAATGGATGAATGCATTGGGCCTATTGTGTGATAGAAAGTACCACTTCAACTTCAAGGAAAATTTTAAAAGATGATGGTGAGATCTGGAGAGAAGCATGAAACTAGGTTAAGTGTTGTTGAGATGAGAATGCTTAGGTGGATGAGTGGCTTTTCACTTAGAGACAAAATGTTGAACGAATGTATGCGTGACAGGGTTGGTGTAGCTCCAATGGTAGACAAAATTAGATAAAGTCGTCTTAAATGGTTTTGTCACATTAAAGGTAGACCTTTTGATTATCCAATTAAGTGAGAAGATGTCTTAGATACAACTTATGTTAAGAAAAGTAGAGGTAGATAAAAAAAGACTTGGGTATGTTGTATAAAAAATGATATTAATTGATTAGAATTAAATGAAAATACGATACTCAATAGGAGAGAATGTAGAAAAAGGATTCATGTAGCCGGCCCCACTTAGTGGAAAAAGGCTCTTTGTTGCTATTGAATCAATACTACAAATTCTTTGTCTTGCATTGGAATAGATAGAAATTATATCTAAAATGATGCATTAAGGATTTTAGTTGATAAGCTTGTCATTTAGCAAATTCTAACATTTAGTATTGCTATTTCATACGTGCTGGCAACAATATTATTTAAAATTATCTTCCCTAGAAGAATTACTTATTTTTCAAGGGCAGCGGACAGGGCATACAATATACGAACATTGGTACAATCTCATAATTGGCTTTATTAAAGCCTTGAACTGCTTTTGATGTATGTTTTTTCCTGTGTATGTTGACAACCTTTGCAATATGATTAGATCTCAGCAGTTTCTTTTGCTTTCCTCCAGCTTTCCAAATATATCCTAATTACATTGTTCTTTTGATTCTTCCATTCTCTGTTCATCTATTTGTAAGTTTCTTTGTTCAAGGCACCTGCAATTGAAATAACTATTTTAAATTTTTGTCGAGCTAGTTTGATTAATTATTTTTCATGTGCTAGTAACATGAGATGGTTATATTTAGTAAAACCACTTAATCTTGAAATCACAGCTCTCCACTAGTAACTTTCAATGTCGTTTGAGGCGCCTATTATGTAATTCATCATTGTAATTATCCAATGCAAGTGTTTGGGTAGGCTGTGTTTTCTATTCATTTATGTTGAGTGATTAATTTGATGTTTGCTCTTTTTAAATGCAAGCATGTTGAGTAATAGACATGTTACATTTTTTGACATCACTTTTTCTTGATTCTTTTACATTAGCATTGTCTATTTACCTGCTATATCTTCTATTTTTGTTATATATATCCCATTTACACTATCTTTTTTTTTATCACCTCATTTTTAATATGTGCTCCCATCATTTCTACAATTTAGTATCATTTCTTTTTTATTTTAGTTTTTTTGTATCATCCATTATAACTTTTTTATTTAAAACTCAACTTAACTATGAATGAATATTTGATGCTCAAACAATATCTATTATGCTGCATAATAGACAAAATTATTGTTTTTTTAAATTTACATAGGTTCTCAAGGGTGTTATCTTTTCCAATAATCTAACCAACATTGTTTTATGTCATAACCTTATTGAACCCTCCAAATCAAAGCATGGGGTGTAGTGGAGGCAGTAATCGAATCAAATGTAAATTTCACCAACATCCATCCAGACTTTTAGTTACAAGGGTCAAATGGATAGAAAATTAGTTTGTTTAGATTTTCATAGGTTGTAGATCATATTTTTTCATGAGCATCTATTGGATACATTATAATTATTAGTATGAATGCATTCGTAATTTATATCGTCAAATTTGATTTTAGAATTTTTAATGAACTTCTTAGATGATCAATATATATTAAAATTTTTTTATTTAAATCATGTGCATTTTTTGTCTATGATACATACCAAATTATACACCCTAAATACTAAATTGAAGGATAAAATTGGCGTCTGATTATGACTCCACTTGCTTTTTTTCCTTAAAATAATAGTTGTAGTAAGACTATTCAAATATAGTCTATACATGATAATCTTTTGAACTTCCGTGAGTATCAATATTTATAAGGAAGATTTGTGTACATACTGCTCAATTCCTATGCATTTACATATGTAACACATAAACTTCAATTTTTATGAACATACCATCTTACTTGTACATGAACAGATGTATTTCATTTTTTAAAAGTTAAAATGGTGGTTTTTTTATGTGATATGAAAGATTTGAGTGGTAGAAATGTGAAAGATAAAGTTTAGGTGTTAGATATGTCAGAAAATAAGAATTGGGTGGTGTGTAGGTAAATGTTCCTGTTTATAAATACGACACTTTTTGATAATTAAATAGGTAAAAGACTCTATCAAAATAAGCATGAAATATTTTAAGAAAATAAAATGCTATTGTCAAATGTCAATGTTAAATTTTTAAGTCTTGTTAGATGTTGGTATCAAATCACTTTTAAGCATATGCACATAATAGCTTAATATTATTATAGAAATTCACAAATGTTTGACCAATGCAAAATTTTCTTCTTATTTTAGAGACTAAATATCTCTCTACAAATATTGGATTCTCAGCGTAGACTTTCTTTTGCCCATCACCCTTGAACTTTTTTATGCCGTCTAATAAAATAGCAAGATCATTATTATACTAATATCAAATTTTAAAGCATAAATCTTACTAAAAAGTTGAAATAATTTCAAATAAAATTGTTACCCTAAAATAATTTCTTTTTATACAGCTCTGTATACAGCTCCCTAAGCCCAACAGCCTTAATACAAACTCAAATTGCGGAGAGAAACATTAAAATTTGATAGCTCTTCTCTTCTTCTTTTTCTTTTCCTCCACAAACCGCTCCTTCTTGTATTTATTTTGGGGTTTGTATAACTATTTGTATGTAAGTAATTATATAGTCATACTTAATATTTATTAATACAAAAATCACAGTTGTCCCTTTATGATCAACCAATGCATGTCACAGAAAGTGAATTTGCTAAAATGGATGAATAGTGCCTTTTTTGGACACTAACAATAATTGAAAGCTTTGAGAAAAATGATTTATTAGTAAATTTATTAATAAATACTAATATACTGACATGTATTATATACATAGACATCAAAATGTTGAATACCAAATGTAGAATCTTATATGAATGTTTTTGGTTGAGGTATAAATTGGTTATGAATTTAATGAATTCTGATATATTAAATTTATTTAAGGATAATTGATATTTTAAAATAAATCTGAAATTTAACTTAGAATAATTTAGAAATTTATGAGAAATTTTTTATAAAATTTCATATAACTAACTGAATCATTTTGGTAATTTCAAGGTTTTAGGTTGTATGTTACCTTTTTTGAAATGGTTGAATCAAAATAAGATTTAAGAAAGTTAGAATATTCTTGAATTTTTGTAGATTTATGCGATATGATATTAATAAGAATTAGTGTATGTGTATGAATTATTACTTGAAGGATTGAGGTAAATGTTGAGATAGTGGTTTAGTAATAACATCTATACATTTTTTGTAAGTGTTTATATTTCTGAATTATAGTATTAATATTGATTTCTAAACCGACTGATAGTAATTTTAATCATGTTTTGCTATATTTTTAGAAATATTAGCTATATTTAAATGAATGTTACAAATCTCTTAGCATGTTTAAACAAATTACATATATTGATTATCATAGAAAAATATTGAATGTTATGAAAATGTGAATGACTTGAACTAGAAGGACGTGCTTGTCTTCATTGATGTTGACTGATAGAGTTCACCTCCCTATGATACTATTTGGGGATATTAAAATCCTCGTGCACATAAATTAAAAAGTGATGTTTATATTGAATTGCTATAAATTCTACATTTGAGATGTTCTTGAAATGATTGTAATATATAAAATGATATTGAATAGATAAGATATTGTACAATATTATAGAATGTTTTGAAACTTCTTGAATGGTCATTTTTTAATATATAAACTATTAAATGATTTTATAATAATTCATTGTATTTGACAAATAAGCATGTTGTTTTCTATTTTGTTTATGTTACTATAATTTTAGGGATACAGGTATTCACTAAATTAATGATAACTCATGAAAATTTAAATTATTATTTTTTAAGATAAGGTTTAGTGATAAAAAAAATGTCTAGTAGAAAGTTTTTTGTCAGAGGCGTATCCAAATTAGAGGATGGTGTTTACATTTATAACTAGTTTACTTTTAGATTGATTTAAATTTTGTTTGTTAGTGGCTCGTTTAATTTATTAAATAATTAATTTTAGCAGTTAGTAATATTAAGTGAAATTGTATTCATTATACGATTGTTTGTGATAATTCTAAGCCCTCAGGCTGAGTCGTGACAAAAGCAAGACAAGAGCAATGCAAATTTTGAATGAAGAAATGAGATGGCCCTTCAAAGGGCAAATTGATGGTCGGTGAGTGTGGAAGAATAGTGTTGTGGTCCTAGCATTTATTTGGAACGATCCCACTTGATTTGAGAAGCATAGGCTTTCCTCATACACCGGAATGTGGCAAAGCAGAAGCCCACATGAGAAGAAGCCACAGACATGGGCCAATAGCAGGAGCATGTAGTTGTAAGGCAAGCAATGGATGCAGAGGTGTTGAGGGGAACAAACGTGCCATGCATTTGGGCGATGGCGCAATGTTGGGTTGAGGCTTAGGTTCTGCTCATTGCTGGGTCCAAATTGAGGCAATATGCTATGGGTATTATTATAAAGTAGCCTATGTTATTACCATTACATAGTGTTTTTTGTATTCTTAAGTTATTTTCTGTTCAATGTTTCGCTCGACTTCTTGTCTGGGTATAAATGCCATCTATATGGAGGTTTTCTTTTTATTTATAAACCCCTTTACTTTAAGAAGTCTTTAAGTACAAATATATTAAAAAATTTTAAAGCACTATAATTTTTTTAGATGATGTTTGTACGTTAAATCTATATTAATATCAAAGTGTAGTATTGTTATAATATAATAATGAAGTTAAACTTTAACCACTGGAGGTACAGGATTCTTGACAAACTCTTTTATAAAAAATCAATATATACTTAATATGAAATTTAGTTTTGCTTAGCAATTTAATAAGCACTTATCTTAGAAAAATTTAAAATTACACTTGTATATAACATAGAATAATATATTAAGCTTATTCTAACAATGCTAAGAAAATAATGATATTCGATGAAACTTAAAAGAGCAAGTAGAAGAAGCTCATTTAAAAAATCGAAGGTTATCGAGCAAGGAAAGATCTAGTGGTTATAAGGAAACACTGAACTGGACATGAAATTGTTTTAGGCTATTACCAATACCTAGGCAAGCCATTATGTGATATTGAACTTTTATTGTCAATGGGACTACTCTATATATGTAACATTCCAAACTAATTGAACTATTAAGCACTCATGTTTAAAGTGAAATTTTTTATGTATCGGTTTTCCTTGAATGGTTGAGAGGTCATTCACATTTCTGCAAATTCATTACAAAAGTTTTAAAAAAATGTTTTATGATTGATATTGGTTGTCATGTTTCCTTTTGTTTATCTGTTCCTATCCTTTTATTGTTTTCTTATTTACTTTGTTTTTTTCAGGTTGGAGAAGAAAATGAAAAGAAGTTTGATCCACAAGTTAGAGTAGATTTTACCTCTCTCAATTTTTCATTTAAGGTAATTCATTTGTTTGATAAAGCTAGCTTAGTTATATATATTATTTTCCTTGCCATGGAGATTGAAAATTATTCCTGCGATTTCTATGCAGAATCGTTCACAGTTGGCTTCAATGAATTTTGATGTTCTCGTTCAAAACGGGAAAGCTTCCAAGGGCTAATGTCAGGTCAAAGGTTCGTCATCTTATACCCAGCAATGTTGGTTTTATTGGTTTTTCACGCAGCCAGTATCTTGTATAGAGCAAGAAGTATCACTATTTGTGATGTTTTAATGAACACGAAGCATCTTTATTTCTTACCCAGCCAGTTAAGCCATAAACTTATTTGTATCTTTAATGATTTTGCAGTCATGTTTGGTGCTGTGCTATTTTTGTTTTGATATTTATGTAACATTTAAACATAATCATTTACTTCTATGAGATTTTGACACCATGAAATTATAACTGTATGATATGTGGATTGATAGAAGATAAAATATAGAAAATAGTATCGATAATATTGTTAGCCATTTTTTAATTTGTGTCAAGATATCTCATTTAGTAAATTTTAACAAGAACAGGTCAGTATAAATTTGTAACTAGGGTTGTCAATGAACCAATGCAATTGATGAACAATTTGAACTTGACTCAATTATACTCGATCATGTTTGTTCACGTTAGTAAATAAATAAGTTTGAACATTTTCTAAAAACTCTAAGACTAAATGAATTAAATTCAAACATAGATCAATTTGCTTATTAATGTTAACAAACAAGCTTCTTGTTCAAAAATTGACATGTTAAATGTTTTATATTTATGTGTTGAGATTGTATCCAATGTAGGGTCCTATTTGTAAATAAAAGAAGTCTAGCAATTTTTTGTAAATCTTGTAAGGTTCTATATAAGCCCAAGTCATTAATGAAATGACCAAGATTTGAAGAGCATTTACTTTTATATGGTATTAGAGCCAAGCCCTAGACACCCAGTTTCATTATCGCAGGGTTCAATCACCAACTATATCTAATTGCCATTACGATTCCGTCGTCGCCTTCCCTACAAGTTTTGATCGCAACTCTCTCGTAGAGTTCAATCATGAAGTTGCGGGATTCTTGGTTCGAAGCCTTCCTAGCAAGCTCTTAGCACGGCCGTGTTGTGAGCGAATGGAGGCTTCAGGCAAAAAAGAGCAGGGTCGCGCGTGAGGCAAGGGCATAAAATGACTTTGACGCAACTTGTAGTTTTTTTGTGAGTCCCGCGTCAAAGGGAGTGTAGATGACTTCTTTTTGTATGTGATAGAGCTGAAGGAGTAGGGCCGCAGGCTGGTTTGAGAGCTTGTAGGCTTTGGTTGGTTGATTTGCACTCGAGGCAGGAAGTAACAGGTGAAGGTGACTTTTTAGGCTTCGCCGAACGCCGAACTTCGGGGCAACTTTGTGTGAGAATGTCAGGAGGAGATGATGCAGGAGATAAAGACGTGGAGTTTTTTAGAAAGATAGATTCTGAAGTTTTGAAGGTCATGATCGGGCTCATATATGGAACTAGCATCTCGACGAAGGCCACTATCTTGACACATGCTTTGATGTAAGTGAAGCTGGATCTTCCTTCCGTGGATCTGAAACTTAATGGACCGGTCACATATCTGAGATCTCTGATACTTGATTTGGGGTGCAAGAAGGGTAGATCTTTGAACACAATAGTAATTGATTTTTTGCATGCAAAAAATGTGAATGAAACATGAATGTAGAAGCTCTAATAGAAATTGATGGTTGAACCCAGTTCTAGTTCATTTGTATCTAAATAATAGTAATTTATAGATAACAAACTTATCTATCAATCGTCGTGTATTTAGTTTAGTTTCATTTTAAGAATTGTGAAGTTTTCAATATGATCAGGATTGGGATTTTATTATTATTTGTATGACCAAAATCTTTGGACCGGGTTCAATATCCTTTCCTCTCCTCGATGCGTCTTCTCCTCGCTGCTTCTTCTCCGTCGTCGTCGCCGTTTGGGAAAGTCTGTTTCGCCGCAGTCCTTCCTCATCGTCGCCGTTTAGAAGATCCGCCACTCTCCTTCCTTCGTCGTCATCGCCTCTCGTCTTCTTTCCCACCACAATTTTTCATTCCTCGCCGCAAGTCTCAGGCTCGAGCAGAAAGTTCGCCCTCTGCTTGACTTGGCAGGTGTTATAGTTTCTCCTTTCGGATTTTGCTCTTTCGTCCACTAAATTCGCTGCTCTTTAGTCGCGCCTCCCTCTTCTGTCGAACTTCGGATAGATCGTATGCTACTGCCCTTGTGGGTGTTTATGCCTGAGGTACTCCTACATTGTGCACTTTCCCTCCTTCGTTTGAGTTGGCGGAGGACTTTAAGAAACCTGGTAGGAAGAATGAGAGCATGCCATCTTTTTTACAGAAGTTGAATGTATTTAACTTGCTTCCTCCTGTCGTCTGAATTTGGTCGGGAAATTTCTTTATGACCATCCCAAAATGGAGATTATTCGTAAGGAATTTGAGCTTATGTATTTTGTTACGAGTGAAAAATTGGACTTTTAGATTAAAGACACATTCTTATTCAACAATAATAAAGATGATTACACACGATTATTTGCTAGAAGGGTAATCTGGATTTTGACCCACAGACGGAACCACTAATTATTCCAGTTTGGATTCACCTCCTTGACCTGTAATTTCGTTATTTTACTCAAAAAAGTGTTGTACTCTATAGTCTCAGCTTATGATAAGCCGCTCAAAACAGACATTCCTACTTTTAATCTTTTCGTCTATTTTTCAGAGTACCTGTTGAAAGAGACATCACTTCAAATACTTCTGAGTAAATTTAGTTAAACACATAGCACCATAAATATTGACAAAATGTTGTGATTGAGTCATTCTCCTTGTATTGTTCGAACTGTCGTATGTTCGGTCACTCCAGTTCTCAATGCACCATTTACACCCAGCTCAGACCATAGAAGCAAAGTGCTCTACCAGAGGCAGTAATTTCCCCTCCTCCTGATCTGCTTCAAGTTATTGACACTATTGATCATCAAAATGATACCCCTGAAGATGTCACTATCCTTACAGACAATATGTCAATCATTCAGCCTCCAGACAATGTTGTAATTTCCCCGTCTTTGGAACCTCCTTTCGTGTGGGCGAGTGAGACATTTCAGATTTCATTTGCCTTAGAACCTATCATTGAGGTTGCATGTGGCAATATTTCTACTGCTTCTTTACCTCCTCATCAAGTCTGGCAAGATGTTAATGTTACTCAGGCACATGGGATTCATAATGTGCAATAACCTACACCCATCCGACCACCTTTGGACCAATCCACTGATCAGATGAGTCAATCATCGGATCAGGAATTACAGATTTACACATCCAGGAGGAAGAAAAAGAATGAAGATCTACTTAAGCTCAGGAATTTGATGGATGATATTGTGGTTACTTCGGGTAATGGTACGCACCTCACTAATTTGTTAGCCGACTCACTTCCGAGAACTAGAGTCAGAGGTAGGACTAAATTGGGACGTCCTAGGTTTTTTTTACGCTTTGATGATTCTGGTTTTTTTATCTTATATGTAATATTTTTTTTTTAGATTCTGTTTGTGTTGTATCCTGTGGGTTGGGTGCATTTTTTTAGACCCACTCATAGAACTGTCGACACTTAAAAGTTGGAGGGGTGTTGCCCGTAAGAAGCTGTTGGTCATCGGAATCGAAATCTCGTCACCCGCTTCAGAAGGATGTTTAATTTACATATACATATAAGTTTTTAAGAAAAATATGAAATCAAACTGACCCCATACTTTTCACAGTTTAAATGAAAGAGCATTTTACCTCGAATCTTGTATCTATCCCGAGTGATAAACATAAGACTTGAGAGTGAGATTTGATCAAATAAACTAAGAAATATGTGACATCCGTTTGGTCTGCGAAAACAATTTTATTTGCCGACAAGTTCCCCTATTTAATACAAAGAATTAAATACGGTTTATATTAGGCTGGGTTCGGAAAAACTTCCTATAAGGGTAAACTCCTATAGTTAATTACATCTTAAATGAACGAAGTCAGTTAAGAAAACTCTCGATAAAAATCAGGGAAGACTATCTTCAAAGAGGTCAAAAGTATAAGACTTTTCAACGAAATCAGACCAAAGAGTGTCAAATGAGAAAGACTCAAATTCAGAACATTCTTGAAGAATCCAAATGAGGAAGAACTAGGGAAGGTCATAGATCCGAAGGTGAACCTCGGTGATTTCCCAGTTTATCCTATGGTTTGGCTTCAGTTTCAAGAAGAAATTATTCAAGTGTTTCATCCTGCCAATTTTATTTAATTAGGGCTTATATTTGCGTGACACGGTCACACAAGTCGCCTCACAGATATGAGGGTTTACGTCATATCGGACGACAACCTCGGAACCTAGAACGAGTTAAGGCTTAAATTGCATAGTCTGGCTGTGCAAAGGCTTATGCATAGTAATTGCATAGTCTGGCTGTGCAAAGGCTTAAAAGATAAAGTGAGGATTTATGTCGCGCTAAGCAAACTACTTTGAAATCCTATAGTTTGTTGTTTAATTCTAAGGAAATATTTTGTTAATGTAGACATATTTTACTGTTGAAGATGGTCGTGCTGCCTACTGCATTTGCTCCAAGCTCCTCGTCATTGCATCGTCGAATTTAATATTTAAGTTGTTTAAGGTTAAAATAATGTAAAAAGTGAAATCACCAATTTATCGTGGGTACTACCTAGGAGCTGCTACTGGCATCCTAATCTAGGGGAGAGTATAAAAGAAAAGCATGTTAATGTGCAATGAAATCATGCACTGTTAATGTGAAAACTGTACATCCGACAAAAGAATGTACACTGAAAGATAAAATAAGCAAACTACACTGGGCATGTGTGTGTGTACTGTGTGTAGGAGAAACGAAATAAATGAATAAAAAAGTTGGAAAAAGTCGAAAAGGAACATTCCGTAATAAATCCGAAAAAACAAAGTTCGCTCGCAATCCAGGCGGATCCCTAGAGGGCCGAACCGAACTCATCCGCTTCTCCTCGCCGATCCCTCTTCTTCCTCGCGAGAGATCAGCCTGCGGTCCCTTCCGCGTGCATCTGTACCCTGGCTAAAGGCTTCCACGCCGTGTCACGCGAGCTGCTCCCCTGCGAAAAGCTTGCGTGAGGAAGAAGAGGGATCGTCGACAATCGGGTCAAAAATGACAGTGCAAATGATGTGAAATGTGGTGATTGAACGTGTCGACTGAACGAATCACGAAATTTGCGCGCGCGAAGATGCAAATTGTGCAAAAGGCTACCCTTAGGCTTAATGATCCTATAGGAACTCCTTTTGGGTTCCCTCATGTTAGTTTCAACCTCCTACGTGCTAGAGGTCAAGAACTACATGCAAAACTTCAAAGGAGTATAGAGGCAGTTTGGATTTCTAAAATGAGGGTTCCATTTCTAAGGGTCTAAGATAGTCAAAGGAAGAGTCCTAAGGCTAGATCCTAAATCCTAAGAGGAAGACTAGACCTCACTAAAAATGAGGTCAACAACAGCCTATCTGTATCTTTTCTTCCTTAATATAATAACCCTTGGCTTTATATATATAAGTGATATAAGAATTTATGATATCATACAACTCAACCAGTGCCCTTTATTTTCGCATTTGCTGCGTCGCTGTGTTGCTTAGGAGAAACTTTGAGTGAAAGCTCTCGCCTCTCGGTCTCGGGTTGGGCTTTTCTTCATCGGCGACAACGTCAATTTCCTTCGCCTCTTTCGCCTCCTCGCCGGTAAAGGAGTAATAGTTTCTCACTCACTCTTTCTTGTGGCTTCTAAGTCGTGAGTCGTGACTCAACTCTGTGAGATCTAAATTTTTTCATTTAGTTTTGTGAGGTTTTTTGGCTAGCCCTCTCCTATCTCTCTTTTTTATTATTTGAGAAATTATTATCCTTGTTGAAGGCAAGAATGTATGGTTTTTTTATTCTCTGATTACTGGTTTGGGTTTTGTATATTGGTGTACAAGTGGCAGGTATTCATGCTATCTGGGTTTATGGTGATGCAGTGCTGCTATATTTTTTTAGTATCTATTTTAGATTGGCTCTTTACGAAGTGTACCTTTTTTATGGGTTGAAATGTTCCAATAGCTATTTCAAAGGGGTGGATTCTTTAAGAGAAAGTTGTTCAGCTTCCACTTCGACAAGATCACTTTGCCCCTCTGAGAAAGTGAATGCATCATTTATGTTCAACGCGTCCACCTCATTTGTTCGGGCATGCTAGTCTATCTCATGATCATTGCCCAAGGGCTTGTTAAACTTAAAGTGGACTGTAAAAATGATTTTAATCTATTAGAATTCTGAACACTTTTGTTTTATAAGACCCATAGACCACATCGCCTCACTGGAGTCAGTGGCCTGTTTATTTATAAGACCCTAAACATGAGTGCTCTTTAATATCTGGACATCAATCCCTATTACTACAGTGACCATCATTATTTATTGATGGGTTGACCTATATGTTACTAGTATATTAATTAGACACGAACATTTTGAGATACGCTATCTATCCACTTTGTTTTCCACTACCCTGCCCGTTTTAATAATATTTTTAAAGAACGCCTCGCCTTGATAACCAGTCCTTTTACAAAATGCTCTTTTTATGACATTTTCTCCTCCTTGACACTCCTGTCTGTCTATTCAACCCTAAGTGAGTTGGTGAGGATCTCTCAGTTAGTTTGGAGGATTCTCGTTTGAATTTGCCATATATGCTTGGCCGGGTTGTTCTTCCGACTGAGCCATCTTGTTGTATCATTAAACTGGCTCACGTTGCATCTTAATCCCTGCCCAGAGGTTTTGGTCATTTATTTCTTTATTTCAGCGTTCAAGAGGCTTAATAATTAAATTTTGGCATATTTATTATGTGTCAAGATGCCATGAAAATAAGTTTTAAATACTATTTATGAAATTATTATTTAAAGATGTCTTCAAACCAAGCAGATAATGTCTAATAGTACAAGCGAACCAAATTCGTTAATGACTATTGTTATAATTCTGCATAAAGAAAATAGAGAGAGCCCTACTTCTGATATCTGTCATATTTTTTTCTCCATGTCCTCTAGAATCTTATTTGTCTTGTTCATATGCTCAGGTGAATGCAGATGATGAAAAGGAGCACGGTTTGCAGGCCGGTTGCATTTCCAACTCCCCTCATTGACATTTTTAAGCAGTTCTAAAGGTTAGCTTTTATACCAACTCTTTCAAGGATGGTCATTTGGTTTGTAAATAGAAACATGTTTTATAAAATGACTTTTTTTTTTTTCAAATCCCCACTTTAAAGAAAATTCATAGAGTTAGTAGAGTCTGAAACAATATTAATATCTAATTACATGTATCCAAATAATGGATTTAATAAACTTTATTATCTCTTAAACCATGATTTCTGATCTCAAGCAATCAAATGATCTCTAACCATGATTTATCTGATGAATTTCTTGCAGTTGAATTAAGGAGAAAGAAAGTGGTAGCATCTTTGTGAATATTAAGTTTTTTTGTTACTTACACAAGCCAGGTATACCATGTACATAAAGCACCTCACCCAAATCAAACTAGTTTGCAGAAACTACAGGTTCTTAGAAATGTGCGCTGAATCAATTTAGGGTTCACATAGTGCAGAATTACATTTCATGTTCGATGAACACCAAAAGAAACAGCTTTGGTAGGTTTTTTTTTTTCTTTTATTAAAAATGTGCCATCGCATGTCCTTTTTTTTTTTTTTTTTTTTTTTTGTACGGTGTAAGAAATTTGACCTTTAATCATGATGAAAAGATGGGCGCAATTAAAACATTTTCATTTTTAAGGCTTTTTTTCTTTATTTTTTAAAAAATAACTGTTTATTTTTAATGCATTTTATTGTTTATTTTTACAAATAAATTGATTTTTTAATATAGTATATTTTATTTTAAAAAAATAATTAAAAAATAGAAAATAAAATATAAAAGTGATTTCGGCTCTGAAGTCTCTGCCAGTTCCTTTCTCGAGAGTGCACTTCATGCTATTTGATGGCGAGAGTGTATTCATCATGCTGCTTGATAAAACGCCATGGGCAAATTAATTATGATTTAAGAGTAATTTTTTTACTAATTTGTTGTTCATAAAAATATTCAAAATTAAATTCGAAATTTTAAAAAATTATATATCTCAACGGGGCATGGGCTTCCATTCGCCAGTCTTGTCAAGGAGCAAGTTAATGTATAAAAGAAAATGTGTTGT